AAAGGCGGCCGGGCGTGGTGTTGGCTACCCACTCCCTCGTGTGCCGTGCCGGCTTTCGTAGGTGCTCGCTAACAGCACTTGCCCCAACAGTCTGTTAAGGCTACACGGGGATCTTTGTATTTGTCTTTTTTTTTTATCAAACCTGTCAATCCCTTATCAGTGCCCTACCTTATTACAGACCAATTCAGATCTTATTGGTCACCCCGTGTCCCTTATAAATCTCAACGTTCATCCTACAAAGTCCCATCACAAGGGAGAAACACCAAAAAATTGCCGCGTGGACCTGTCAACTCAACTTCCCTGTTCAATTCCCCTGGACAAGAATACGGGTAACCTGTATGGGTGGACAGGTATGACTGGCGAAACGTCGTACTTAGATTGTGAATGTTGATTTGAAGCTTTCGTGACTACAGGAATCTATACTCTTTGGTTCTTTCGGTAAAGTCACTTATTTTATTTTACACCTACGGGACTTTACCGAAAGAATCAAAGAGTTCAGATTGTAAATGTTGTGGCTTTGCTCTCCAACGCACAGGTGTTGCTGTACGAGTGACGAATTGGCACGTTCTGTTTACGCGACAAACCTTACTAATCGTCTGTGGCGGGTTTAACGACACAATTATATATTAAAAATAACGCGATCGAACCCAAAAAACCTCTATCATGGATGATATTGGTCGCGAAAGCCGACTGCGTGTTAAACTGACGAACCTCGATGGGGAGGATACTTTTCTTCCCAATGAAACTGTTGTAATTACTGGCGAAACTTCGCACTCAGATTGTAAATGCTGTGATCTCTGCTCTACTCGTGACGAATTGGCACGTTCTGTTTACGCGACAAACCTTACTAATGGGCTGCTTGGGTTGGTGGCGGGTTTAACGACACATGTATATTCACTTAACCCCCCCCCCAAAAAAAAAACACCCGTATTATGGAGGCCCGGTTGTATGTCCGGCGTTGAACAAAAAGAGTGTTACTCTTAGGTTTTTTCGGTAAAGTCACGTAGGTAAAAAAAATAAAGTAAAATAAAAGTAAAATAAAGTAAAATAAAAAAAATCACTCTTTACTTGATACAGCAATCGTGCTGTGACGGTTCCACCTGAAGACGGAAGCTTGTGTTGCCTCCGAAACGTCGTGATTTTTTATTTTACTTTTATTAATATTAATTTAATTTTTTACCTACGTGACTTTACCGAAAAAAACTAAGAGTATGAATCCTTGCAGTCACGAACGCTTCAAATCTAGAAGAAAAAAAAGAGTGTTCGTGTACCCGTTTTAGTTCTGGTTCCGTGGGGGGTGATAGGGTCGTGGGGCTATTGGCAACCGAGATTATTGTCTCGGCAGAGAGGTGCGTTGCTCACGAACCGACGAATGGGTTACAAAGTGAGGAAGTTTCTCCCCCAGGGTTTGGAACGCATAGTCAAGAGAGACCTTTATAAAAAAAATGCTCATTGTTGTTGTGTGTGTTCTGGTTGTATGTGTGTGTGTGAGCGGTAGTGAAGTGGTTCGCGTGCTGCGCTTACGAAACCGGCAGAAGCATGCGTACAGATTCGTGCGATTCATTTGCTGCTCAACATTTCCACGTGATGAAGCCAACTTTGTTGAGCTATCATCATTTGTGGGCAGGTGGCTTCTGACAAATACGCTAATAGCTCAGCAGGCTTTACCTGCTAAGATAAAACATTGTTCAGTTTTATTGATATATTTATCAGTGATTTGTTTACCTTTCCTATACTTAGCACTCCTATCCTGTTTTTATATTATTGTAACGTTTTGACCCGTCCCAACTGGACATCTATTTTTAAAAAAGAGCTTTATAGCTCATCGGATTCCTCCAGTATAAATACAGATTCTGATTCAGAGACCCCAATTCGATTGCCACTCACGGCCAACATCGGTGACAATTATCTGAACCAGTCCTGGGCCTCCCCTAAGTCGACTTAGCCTCAAATGAGTACCTGGTGCAGTGTGTGAACATCAGCAATGGGGAGACAAAGGCGGCCGGGCGTGGTGCTGGCTTCTCATCCCCTCGTGTGCCATTCCGGCTATCAGAGTTGCTCGCTAACAGCACTTGCCCCAACAGTCTGTTGAGGCTATGTGGGGGATCTTTGTTGTGTTTGTGTAGTTGTGGAGAGAGGTTTGTGCATTAACAACATCCCACTACAAACCCGGCAACCAGAATACGACTTCCAGCCACCGAGAGCATCAATGGCAAGTGGTATTTAAACCTGTACTGGGCCTTTTCTAGGTCAACTCAGCCTTAAATAATTATGAACTGCATATCGGAATGCGTGCGACCGCATCAGATCTCGAATGCTAAGCAGGTTAGAGCCTGGATAATGCTCGGATGGGCGACTATCATGTTACAGGCTGCTACGTTTTGAGAAGTTCGGCCAAACCCATTGCTTTACTGTAATTCTATGCTCCCCTCCTTCAACCCGCACTGACCAGCGCGGTCAAGTAGGATCAACCCGCACGATAAACGACACGGCGTGGGGGAGGCCTTCATGCAGCAGTGGATTCATAGAGGGCGGTACGTGTCACTATAACCACCGGGGGAGACACAGATGGCCAGGAATTCTGCCGACCACAACAACCCTTCAACTTCTTTCGCACCATACGTAGCCAACCGTGCTCATCAGAGGTGCAGGGGAAGGAGAACGAACACAAAAAGCTGTTCTACAGAAATGAGTTGTCAATCGAGATGATGATTTAAAAGTGCATAGCTCCAGTGGCTTCCTAATATCGGAAGGAAGAGCGTTCCAGACGGCCACAGAAGCGCACCTCAAAGCGTAATGCAGTAGCCGTCTTTGTTTGATGGCTCGCCAAAAAAACAACAACATCGGCCCAACGTCAACCAACGTTTACTCGGATGCGCTGCGCTGGTCTAGAAAAGGCGTTCGCTCACAGCGCCTGCCGCAGCAAGCACGAGGGGATGAGCGGTGGAGGCCACGAGATTCCCTGGCGTGCATCGCACTCGCCACCAGAACTCGGCCTCGTGACGGGAGCAAGAGAATCGATCAAACCTGGCCGCCACGTGTGCCCCGCGCTGAACCTGTGCTGGAGAAAGGCGGCAACGCCACGGCCTTCGTTGTATAAACGAACGCAACGAATTTCTGTCGTCAAACTGCGTTGGCAGCGCGGCGCCACGAGCGCATAAAATAACAAGAACTTGGCACGGTCCGTCACCAACAACCTCTTCATTACGATGCAAAGTCACCTGACTTTTCAAAGTGCTTTCGTAAACGGGGTGCGTTGAGCTCGCGGGCCACCTTGAACATTTGCCAGTTTTTTTTAACTTAATAATCTTGAAATTTAAATTCTTAAGCCTCGAATGACATGAAATGCGGCACAAACACAAAGATCGGCTGGATAGCGTTCAACAGATGGTTGGGGCCAGCGCTGTTCAGCGAGCACCTATGAAGCCCAGCACGGTGGCAAGCACCACGCCCGGCCACCTTTGTCTCCCCAGTGCTGATGTTTACGAAACACGCGAGCTTTAGTTCATTTTGATTTGTTAAACGGCTCTTCTACACGGGAGATCCCTGGTGTGCGTGAGCACAGCAACACAAAGACAAAAACATCAACATTGCAGAGCACGAGTACAGCAGGGTCCTTCAGAGGCATTGCATAACTAACAAACGAGGTGTTAAACAGTCGTAAACAAAAGTGGCTACTCATTTATAGCAGTCGGCCAAGAGAAGGCCTCGTACAGATTTAAATATTCGCTGCCACTGAGCGGGAATCGAGCTCGGGTCGTCGGTTTCGCAGCGCTGTGCGTGAACCACTGCGCCACCGCTCCTGTAAACATCTACGCCGGTCATCCTCGCAGCAGCAGCTTTTGGCTCACCATCGAACACAGACGGTCACAGCGTCGCGCGCTGCTCTCGGGTGCGCTTCCGCGGCCGTCTGGAACGCTCTTCCGATATAAGGAAGTCACTCGACATTTTTAAATAATCGAGATTGAATACTCATTTCTTTAGAACTGCTTTTTGTGCAGTGACTCATGCAGCGAAACCTTTACGTGGAAAAGGCTCAATTGGGAACCAACACAGGCTAAGGAGAGAACCGCTAGGGCTGTTCGTTTCATAACATGCCAAATAATCCTCGTACATTTTAGAATAACACATTAGATCACCGTTTTATTCCCACTCACAAGTTCATCTCCCTTGAAAGATGGACTCCTCGCTGCCTCAAAAGGCTCTATCTACCCTGCTTTCTCACGCTAGTGACCAACGGATAAGCTCCGCATCCCACGGAGCTTCAACACACATACATACAAGCACAGGTCTCCCTAAAAAAAAAAGGGCAACTTGGATACCAATAAATCCTCCAGTGCATGTCCTGGGAGCATGAGCGAGTGAGCGTGCGAGTGTGCGTGGAGTCCGCGTGCTTTTCAGAGCCGATCACCCAACACTGCATAGCTCCGGACTAGCAGCCCGTGACCTTAAAACAAATCAGTTATTTGTAGTGGCCAACAATCTGACGATGTGACCGAAAACCATTTCCCCCAACATCTGAAAGTCACAGAATAGCAGCAACTGCGGGAACTCTCCCCCGAAGCCCTCTCGTCGTGGCCTGAAGACCTCGGGCATTGGAATTTAGCTCCAGAACAGATTGCCACGCGCAAGAACAGACTGAACAAAGTCGACAAGATCATCAATAACTCTTGCTCACGATTGGCTGAACACGACCGCGCATCGACCAATCAACCTCCCTTGTGCTTCTGATCAATACAAGTAAAAGCAAATAGCAAGGCGGCAGTGACAATCTGGGCAAGTTAAATAAATAAAAAATAAGAATCTCACACTGAATAAATTATTAAAACAATGCATAAGGGCAAAGACCTTTGAACTGTTTGGCGAAACAATTATTTTGATGATCATAAGTTTAAACAAAGCTCACGATAAAATCCGGCGGCTAGCGAACAACTGCGCGCAGAGAGGCCGCAGCGACGTGCGTTGCGGCGGCATCGCGAAGGTCAAGGGGGATCATTCACCTGAAGTGTGACAGCCAGTCCTGAAAGTGCAGCATTCCTGGGATGAGCCACTTGGATCCCAACTTTACGAACCGCCGCGGAGAAGACATGGTCACATCCGCGGCCGAGAACATCCCCCCCTAAGTCGGCAGCTCGTCAGTGGTGCCCGCAGTCTCCTTCCCCCGCCTCTCTCTCCTTGTCCGACCCCACGCCGTGTCCCCGATCGTCCACGCGTCAAACTCTCGTCGCGGTCGCGATCTCTCCGTGCCACGCTCTGCGACGCTGAGCAGCCTTTCCCTCTCGTCGCTCGGGTCTTTGTGTCGCTATCCGTGTCGGCGCCTTACACTGCTCCGCATCATTTGCATTCTCTCCGTTTAGCGCTCTGGCCCCCCACTGCCCCCCCCCCCCCCCGCTAGGCCTGCAACTCATTGTCACTCGCTCCGCACCGCATTCTGTTTCTCTTGAGAGGCGTATGCCTCCTGCGCTTAATCCGTCCTTTCTCAAGCGATGAACCAACTCACCAAGTTGTCGCTGCAACGTATCGCAAACTTATACGAGTCGTAAAACTTTGGTTTTATACGAAAGCCGTGAAATTAGCTTTACTTAAAAAAACATAACACACCTATGCTAATCATCGAAAAGAAAACCAATAACACCTAGGCTAAATAAAGGACAGTTTTAATGGATCGACATCGACAGGCGGGCGATCACTAAGCTATCACTCAACACGATATAAACACCTGGGCCGAGGGGGAAAAGTAAACGACAACAGAGCAACCGCTAACGGCAGCTCGGCATTCACGCGCAACGCGACAGAGATTCTCTACGGCAACGCAGGGGGAAATGACGGCATGGGGCCGCGCACGCAAGAGACAAACAAGGGGCCCGCAGCACGGAGAAGCCCCCTGCCCCGGGAGGAGGCCCTCTCCTCCCCCTCTCTCACCTGCCACCGCCGTTCAGCGCTCGCTGCTCCGGCCGCTCCTCCTCTTCCCCGCCCTCCACTCCGCTCCGCGCGCACGCCGGCCCACGCTCTCCTCCTCCTCCGCCTCCTCCTCCCCTCTCGGCCCCCGCGCTGTCGTCCGGGGCGATGGGACAACACAGCGGCGAGTTATTCATCGAACCGAGTGCGGCACGCCGCCGCCGCCGCCGCGAGTGCCGTGGCTGCCGTGGCAGCTGCCGCGGGAGTCTCGCCGCCCTCCCTCCCGGGGCATCGGGCTTAACCCTCCCCCGCGCGGGATCCGCATTCACGGCCGCCAGATTTGCCCGCGTCCGTCAGCCCGGTCGCGTGTTTGTTCCGTCTAATCCGACGCGCCAATACCGGGTTCAACCGTTCCGAGTTAAAACCCGAGTGAACGACCTCGGCGGGAGGTCCGCGCGACGTCGCTCGTTCGACGGTGCTGCCCCCGTGGCCTGGAACTGTCACCTCCCCAGCCGTGCGTGCTACCGACCCCCTGCCTCCTCTTCTCCTCTGCCTACGAGCGACTGCCTCTTTTCCACAAAATATATCCGCTCACAGTTGCTGTGCAGCTTCTCGGGGCGCGATCGCACTCGGCCGCTGAGTAAATCCGGCGTCTCCCGCGCACGTTGCACGCAAACATCAACAATCTTGCGGCAACTAACACCGGCGGCGCACAGCCGCCGACCATTATTCGTGCGCTCCCCAGGTTGTATCCGAGCACACCGACCTCCGCACCCCCACAGGCAAGGTAAAGCGCGCCGCCCACTAGGCCGTGAAATCACTCGGGGAAAACAAATCGGCGAGTCGTACGACGAGCGGAGCATTTTGCCGTGAACACAAACCCGCCCCCCCCCCCCCCTCCCTGGAAACGAACAAAAAACCGAACGGAGCCCCACTCTGTGAAAGGTAACCTGGACTACCGTCGGAGACACGCGGAGGATTATTGTTTTAGTTTTTTTAATATGATATAATTAAAAAGAACAGATGACGCGTAACAGTAATGTCAAGGGGGGAGGTGGGGGGGCTTTAGTAATATTCACAAAACATCAGACGGAACTGCACCTGGAATGCGATCTGCATTGCACTTGCAATGCAATGAGCAAATTACACCTGCAATGCACCTACAATTGCATTTGCATCTGCAATTGCACTTGCAATTGCAAGTGCAATTGCACCTGCAATTGCACTTGCAATTGCACCTGCAATGCGAATCTGCATTGAATTGCATGCACCCACAATGCGAATCGAACCCAAATGCACAAATTACAACTCCATTTGATTTTACAGAGCGGATCAATGCAACTTCATATTGCACTCTACAAGAATCTGGACGTGTGTACAACTACGGGTTTCCGCCTGTCCTGCTTTTTCCAGGATTGTTCTGAGAAATATGTAAATCTTCCACTGGACATCAAATGTCCCGTTTGTTTTTGTCACTTGCATGAAAATACAGCACTCAAGACGACGCATTGACATGCAGTCTCCAATTCCGGTATTGTGCGATATCTTTCTACGATACGTCCCAGTTTTATGTACCATAGAAGTGGTAACCCTATGTACCACTAGAAGGGAGCGAGTCGTGCTTGGGAAGTTGGGCCCAATTCCCGATTGTGACGTTTTGAATGTGGAAGAAAACTGCGATGCCCCAGGCGTGCAAAGAGAGAACACTCGACCCCTCACTCACACAGATGCCTTGTTAGCAACCTACTTGCTGTACTGACTGCCACGTGAATCATCTCATCTCACTGCCCAGCAGATTGATGTCTCACACCCACTGTGTCCACGTGTTGCCTTCTCCGACTTCATAGGATGGAATAAAGTTGACAAAGTCTCAGGACTGTTTTTTTTTCAGGAGGGCCCTGTATTGGGATGTTTGGCTATTGCCATGAACGAGGAAACAGAATACCCAGAGAAAACCCTCACGTGTGAGGGTGACACTCAAACGTTTCTCAAGTTCTGCACCATAATCATGAACCATTTTGTATACTCTAATCTCCTGGCCAGCTCGCACCCTGATATCCCCTAAGGCCATCTCGCCCCGACTAGACATCTGCGAAAAAATATGTGAAAGATATTTTACTGCAAGATCTGACCATGTCCGTCCAGTGCCCGCCAAGCTGCTTTGGCTTTGGGTTGCCGAACAAACCCATTGTAAGGTCGCACTCATTACACACAAAGTGCTTGCCCCTAATGAACCACAATACCTTGCTGATCTCGTCAAGGAGCATAAACCATCACGCGAACTCCGGTCATCCTCGCAGTGACTTTTGGCTGGCCATCGAACAAAGACGGTCACTGCATCGCGCGCTTTCAGAAGCGCTTCTGTGGCCATCTGGAACTCTCTTCCTTCCGATATTAGGAAGCCACTTGAGCTATGCGCTTTTCAATCTAAATTTAAATTAATTTATTCAGAACTGCTTTTTGTGTTTAGTTTGTTGTACTTCCCTCACACCTCCGATTAGTACGATTGGCTACGTACAAACATACAAATAGCTTCATAGCTCATCAGATTCCTCCAGTCTAAATAAAGATTCTGATCTCCAACCTACGTACCAACGAGGCTCAACCCTGCCACGCTTCGGCGATCCGATGACATCGGGCGCGTTCAGGGTGACCTGGCCGTTGCGCTTGGGGAGAACGGTTTCGGCTTCGCGGCGCTGAGAAGCGTTAAGTCCTGGGGCGTCCACCCCTCCCACAGGGCCCTGGCCACCTCCCCTTTATCCCCTCCACCAACTTCATCCTCTCTTTAAAATAGCGAGAGGGCAGCATCACAGGGGATCACAGGCAAAACCGTAGTGACCTCACTCCCACTCGCCGGCACACGGGACAATCGGCACTCGCACGTCCAGGTCAGAGTCCCGACAGAAAGAGAGGTTCGCCATTACCAATTGTAAATATATACTTGTGTTTTAAAGATAAAGGTGCAGACCTGCGATTGATTGCTCACGCTACCGCTGGCGGGAGGGTGAGGGAGCTATTAGAGTCCCCCCTCTAAGAGTATTGGGCCTACTCTTCCACGCTGGCGAGATGTTAACTGCCTCGCCTGGTATGAAGGAGGTCGTGGGTTCGATCCTGACCCTGACGCCTGCTGTATATTTGGAGCTTGCATGTTCTCCCCATGGTCGTGCAAATTTTTCTCCGGGTCCTCGGGTTTTTCACGCCACATTTAGACGCGTGCGTTTCGAGTGTTTGGCTGCTATAAATTTCCACGTGATAAGCCACTTCGTTGAGCCATCATTTGGGGTGGCCAGGTCGCTTCTGAAAAAAAGCTTGTAGAGCTGAGTCGGCCTTACCTGGTAAAATAAAAAATCTAAATTAGCAACTCGTTAGTCTTGGAGCAGGTGGAAGTCCTCACACCTGCACTGAACGCGACCTGCTGATCGACTGTGGTGAAACCACACCGCTGGGTGGACAGAAGCGGTAGCGGAGTGGATTGAAGAAACTTGCACAATTGTTTCCACTACCACGCCGGAAGATCAAATGGACCTGGCTACCTCTGAATTGCAAGTCAAGAGGGCTCACCGTTACGCCACGGCGGCATGCCCTGAACGTGTATTGATTTTGATTTTTACGTCTTAATCACGTTCAGAGATACAGGTCACTTGGTTCAGATCACGGCTTGATACTTTGTGGATCACCAACCGGGAATAGAACTCAAGTCGCCAGGGCTAAAGTGCCGTGCATGAGCTTCTGTGCCACCGCTCCTCTTGATTTACAAATGAAAGATCAATTAATGCTTCGACTAATCCCGACAAAAAAACTCACATTCGTCAATAACACTGCCTGAAAATGAAATATGAGCACTGCCTCAGTGCTCGTTTGAGCAAGAAACGAAGCAATCAGCTGTATCCATAATAGGTTTTTGTGTGTTAGATCAGATCGCGTAAATATAAATGCGTCGTTAAACCCTCCACCACCCAACACAGCCAATTAGTAAGGTTTGTCACGTAAACAGAACATGCCAGTTCGTTACTAGTACAGCACAAATCCACAACATTTACAATCAATTACTGGCGAAACGTTGTACTCAGATTGTAAATGTTGTGGATTTGCTCTCCAACACACCGGCTGTATGTTTAAGCAATGGTGCTCCTTCAGAGACACACGTTACAATCTGCTTTGAAGGATTTATATGTGCTATGAACAAGGGCCATTACCCGAAACGTCACCTAAGAGAAAAAAAATCATCTTAAGGGCTGTTGACGATCGTGTTGAGTTGTTTTTGTTATTTACGTTCACGCAGCACCCGCCAATGGTAGCAACGTCGCCGAATAATTTGTTGAACCCCGATGGGAAGGTTCACTCGACCATTTATTCTTCTGGGGTCGATGCAAACCCAACAGTGGGGGGGGGGGGGGGTGTCCTCTGGAGAGAATGTGGAATTTCACACCAACGGCACGGAGACCTTCAACGGAGATGAGCTCCACCCAAGGCGCGTTGCCTTTTCACGTCCCCTTTACGTGACCAGCTCCGGATGATTAAACTAAAACTGAATTAAACTATTTTTGGTTCTTTCGGTAAAGTCACGTAGAAGATGATTGCTTGTGTTGCAGTCGAAACGTCGTGAGAATTTTATTGTTTTATATTTTTATTATTTTATTGTTTCCCTTCTACGTGACTTTACCGAAAGAACCAAGAATATGAATCCCTGCAGTCACGAAAACTTTAGATTAAAATTCAACTCTTTTCGTTTTACCAGGTAAGCGCCCGCCGAGCTGGATCGCTCTGTTTTTCCACAAGCGACCTGCTGGCTGTCACAAACGATGGCTTCAACGAAGCGGCTTATCGTCGTGTGGAAATTCGTGGCCGGATGAAAGCCTGGGGGGGTTGTTTGACCATACTTCACCGTGCTGGCCAGTGCGGGTTGGCAAAGTACTCCCAGGCGAGGGCTTCAATCGGTCTATAAACGGCGCGCGTTTTTCACCGTCGGCGAAATTAGTTAAAATGCGAGCGGGAGCTCGGCGCGTAGAAACACGCGCGGCGAAGGCGTGTGTGCCGTCGGCCTCCCAGTGTCGTAATTAAAGTGGCTCGGTGTTTATCGCTAAGAGGCTCAGTGGCTCTGCCCATCACATTACCTGGTTAATGCCGCGCGGCTAAACCCCCGCGCGCTCGTACCGCGATTCAGTAGCTCTGGGGGTCGCCGCTCTGCGAATGCGTAAGGTCACATTTGTACGTACTGCCCGTTACCAATCCCCTGCTAGATGGAGGCCTCCCAGCACCGCGTGGGTTATTGGGGGTTGTTTGACCATACTTCACCACGCCGGTCAGTGTGCGTTGGTGATGGCAGATACGAGGACCCGTTCAGATATCCCTTGTTGGTACACTGTTCGCCGTGGCCAGGAATCGAACTCAGGTAGCCAGACTCATCAGGTGGGACGCTTGTGTTGCGCCCGAAACGTCGTGATTTATTTTATTTTCTACCTACGTCACTTTACCGAAAGAACCAAAGAGTATGGATTCCTACAGTCACGAAAGCTTCAAATCAGGTAGCCAGGTTTCTAGTGCAGCCACCAGCTCGGCAAAAATTGCCGCAGTGGGCTTCGGGGGAGGAAGCAGCGGCAACGGGGGGGGGGGGGGGGGATATTAAAACAGCCCCGGTATGAAAGCTGACGACAGCCGCTCCCCCACCGCGGCGGGCTAGAGCAACCTCCCCCATTCGTGAACGCAACGCAAAGTCCAAAGGCCAAATTAAAATCGGGAAGGGCTGGGGGGAGGGGAGCGGAGGGGAGGGGGGGAGTTCAACCGTTTGGCATTGCGAACGCTTCGCCAGCAAACGGTGCGTTTAATCTGGGGCCGGAATAGGGCCCCCTGCTCCGGTGGGGGGTGTCCTGCCGCTCACTGGGCATGAACGCGGCCATGCTGGCGTGGTGCCTGTTGCTGAGAACGCCGTGGCGTTACGAGGGCACGGCACGCATCGCCGCTAATTGATCAGGTGGGACGCTCGTGTCGGTGGCTAGGAGATGTTAACTCCCTCGCCTGGTAAAGAGGAGGGCGTGGGTTCTATCCCGACCCTGAGGATGACTGAATATTTTGGAGTTTGTGGTGTCTCTATCCCTGTGCTGGCATGGATTTTTCCCCAGGTCCTCTGGTTTTTCCCTCCCCATAAAGAAACATGCGCACAGGGTGTTTGGCTGCTATAATCTTGACATGATAAACCACTCTCCGTTGAGCTATAATTTGGGGTGAAAGTTGCTTCTGAAAAAGACCTATATAGCTCAGTGGGCCTTACCTGGTAAAATAAAAAATAGTTTTTTTTATAAGTTTATGGGTTTTTAGTTTTTTAAATAATTTCTGCTCGCTTTTACCCCGTTGTGCCTATCGCCATCAATCGCACAACGGGACAGAGTATCCACTCGGATCTCTCGCACAGCAGCACAATGCTTCGTCTTCGACAGTGGCCCACAGCAGCGGATGTCAAAGAGCTACCGCTGAGATCCCTTACAGCGACCCCTGCTCCGCACAGTTAGAGGTCAACACTTTCCCGCAACCCGCTCTGCGTAGGACAGCAATATCTGTCGCATGACTGCCAAACTGATATTGTAAGCCTCAGCGCTGGAATATGGCCAAATTGAGCGCAAAAACAAGCTTAATGTGACGGGGGTTTGGGGGGGGGGGATTTGCTGTACAATCATTGGTGACGAGAGCCTAGACCTATTCCACCCAGTGCACCGGAGACCCCGATTTTACTCCCAGGCGGCTGCCTGGATACGACCCCGGGGCCTCAGCGTGGGCTGCTCGACACTCTGAGCCACCCAGCCGCCTCCCCCCCATGAAGCTCTTCTTATTGCAATCTCTGCCAAGGCTTTGTGCCGAGTCGTGCAAATGCCGATGCCGGACCTCGAACAAAAACTCTAAGAGAGGTGCCAAGGTTATTCCAGCCCTGGTCTAGCCGTGCTGCCTCCGAGCTCAACATTTGTGCGCATTTCAAGGTTATTGCTTTCACCTTATCCGCATACTGTACCACACAGCCCCCCTTTGTCCAACACACTGCCTGGATCGGGGTTTCGCCTCGCCATGCCACGTGTGCTTGCTTGACCATAATTAAACCACGCTGGCAACGCGTCGCTCGGTTGAAGGCTGGGTTGCAGGAGACACAGCAGGCATTGGCAGTCGCAATGCAACAAAGGATTTGGCTGCACTGGCCTCTGCTATCCACCACACGGAGCCCGCCGAGCCTGGCGAGCCCGCGACACCCGTTCATGCCCGCCGGCTGTACACACCGGAAGCCACCCAGGCTCAGTCCCACGTCGGCTTTGGAGATGCGATGAGACCTGGGCGTATTCCGGGTGATTTGGACGCGGCCGCCGTCGGCTTACGAGGGAGGCTTCTTTGCTCGCGGCCTCTCTGAACGAGCCCGAGCTCTTCTGCCCGCTCCATGCACGGAGACAACGGAGACGTGCGGTTTCAACCTTCCTGCATCACGCAACCGCACGTTGGGAACTCCTCGCCGCCCTCGGGAAGATTTGCCCAGATGTACGTTTGAGTCACGCCGGAGAGACGCGTTCGGCATTCGAAGTGGCATTTTACAACTTTTTACCTAGATTTTAAGTTTCTCTCTATCTCTTCTCCCTGGCTCCGCCCCCCCCCCCCTCTCTGACCTATATAGCCTCTTGATACAAGCACCCTTTTTACCCACTTCAGCAATTGTTTCTTGCTGTGGTTGTCACACCTGATGACGGACGCTTGTGTTGCGCCCGAAACGTCGTGATTTAATTTATTATATTTTTCTTTAATTTCATTTTTATACCTACGTGACTTTACCGAAAGAACCAAAGATTATGTAACAACCTTAAACTTTGGCAGCGGAGAGCTGTGCTTCATTTAGCCGTTTTTCATCTCTTTTACCCTTTTATCGTAACTCGGGGTAATTGATCCGGCCGGGTGGCTCAGCGGTTTGGCTCAGCCCATCATCCCTGCGGGGCTGATAAAAATAGGTACCGCTTTGTGGGTGACGTCAACGGTGGTTGTCCCACGGATACATTTTACCTCCCCCCCCATCATAGGAATGTGGAATTTCCACCCATGGGCTCAAAGGCTGTAACCAGGATTTGGGCACTGCCGCAGTGCGCATTTGGGCAACGAAAAACGAAGCAAGCAGCCGAATGACTCAGCGATTACGCCCCTTCAGGGAGACGAGTTGCCTTGAAGCCTGTTTATGTGCTATGAAGAAGGGACATTGCCCGAATCGTCGGGCACGGGCCACTGACACTCACGCACACGAGTCGATGGGTACGCGTTTCGCGAGCGTGCCAATCGGTCGTAATCGATGAACCGACACAACCGTAACCGGCCGAAGCACTAGACACCACATTCTATAGCACACTTCACATCCAGTAACCCTACGCCAACACAGACTAAGATCCTCCGTGTAGCCTTTAACAGGCTGTTGGGACAAGTGCTGTTCGCAAGCGCCTATGAAGGGCGCACGGCAAACAGGCGGGCGATGTTGGCCAGCACCAATCCCAGGCCGGCCACCTTTGTCTCCCCAGTGCTCGTGTTTACACACCGCACCAGGTACTCGCTTAGGGCCGAGTCGACCTAAGGGAAGCACAGAACGGGTTCGGATATCCACCACAGATGTTAACGGCATCCGGGAAGAGAACTTGCGGTGCCGGACCCATCGCGCAGCGTGCTAAGCGCCACGCGACCTGCTCCCCCTAAAACATTGGCGTGCACAAAGTACAAAGATTCCCCATATAGCATTGAACACACAAGAGCAAGTGTTGATCAGCGAGCACCTATGAAGGCGAGCACGGCACATGATGGGGGTGCGTGGCCAACACCACGCCCGTCCACCTTTGTCTCCCCAGTGGCGATGTTTACACACCACACCAAGTACTCAATTGAGGCTGAGTCGACCGAGGGGAAGCCCAGGACCGGTTCAAATAATCGTCACTGGTGTTGGCCGTGAGCGGGAATCGAACCCGTGTCGCCAGGTTCAGTAGCGCAGCATGCCAACCGCTACACTACTACAACAACAACAACCGCCATTCGCCACTAAGTGGTGGTGACGTCACCACGACGCTTGTGCCAGGCCATGTGCACCTTGAGGCCACGTGAAGTGTCGAACGCCCGCTGGCAGGAGGTCACGGGGCAGACCCAGGTGCCACAGGTCGACTGACTGAGATGACTTAGACGACTGGCTGATGCACCACCTGTGCCCCCCTACTACACACACACACAGCCACGCGTGCGCACCGTGCACCACACACCTGGCGATGAGGCTCGGGGAAGACAAGTTGGAGTCTGAGCGGGGCTACCCGGCCACCAGTCCCCCCCGTCCCAGGTGTCTCCGGAGCCCGAGCTGATGAGCGAGAGCCAGCTGCCTTGCGGGAACTCTCCCACCTGCACACCAAGACAAAGATTCCCCTGTAAGCCTTAACAGACTGTTGGGGCAAGTGTTGTTCGCGAGTTGCACATATGCAGGGTGGCACGGCACGCGACAGGGTGGGTCGCCAGATCCACGCCCTGTCGCCCGTGTTTCCTCCACTGGCGATGTTTACACACCGCACCAGGTACAATATTTAGTCCAACGAGGGGAGGGACCCAGGAATGGTTCAAAGATATTCGTTCCCGATTTTGGCTCTGAGCCGGAATCCAATTCGGGTTGACAGGTTTCTGACCGGATTGCGCTAAACCACTGCACTGCCGCTCCCCACGACACACACACACACAACAAAGTCCCTCCGTGTAGCCTTAACAGACTGTTGGGGCAAGTGCTGTTTGCGAGCACCTCTGAAGGCCGGCACAGCGCTACAGGGGGTGGGCAACAGCATACACACCACCGTGTCCAGCAGCAATCTCACTGCCAATCCACTGCTGGACCAGGACCTCCGTCTGGGTCGCTGGTTGGTTGTTTGACCGTACTTCACCACACTGGCCAGCGTGGATTTGTGAAGGGAAGTTCCCCGGACCGGTTCAGATATCATTGGACAATGGTGTTAGCCGTGGCTGGGAATCTGAACTCAAGGCCAGCAAGTTCACAGTGCACCAATGCTCCACCCATCATGAAGAACTATGGCTAATGAAATAATGGTAGCGAGGCAAACGTTAGTTTCTCCGCGTAAAAACATGTTTAGTCGGCGGGGCTCCTGGCGCCTTCCGAGACAGCAAATTCCAGAAAAGCCAATAGCGTGAGCAGAAAATGTTTTTTTCTCTCGAAGCTTCTAAAACTATCGTGACCCTACCACAGTCCATGGAACGGTAGTCATCAAATATCAACCGCGGAATGTAAGATGGACCCGAGTCGGCCCGAGATGTGAACCTGCAAACCCCCCCCCCCCCTTTCGGATGCTGGGCCTGAGCTCTCGGAGCGACAGGTCACCCCCCGAGGGCTGGGATCGCGATCCACTGTGGAACACTACCCGCGTGTCGCTTGCACGCGGCTGTTAAATAAAAACAAAGCGGTGGCCATGTGAGCCAAGCGGTGTGGGGAGGGGGCCGGGGGGGTGGGGGGGCTCGTAAAGATTGATGCGTGCGATGCGTGCGTCGAATCGCCTCACGTCACAATTGACTGTAATTCGTGTCAGGGATATCGCTGCTAAGCAGATGTCGCCATTTGAGGCCACTGCAACAATCAGGCGTGCTAATCGGAGGGGTTAAGTGCGTAGGTGAGTGGGCGAGTGAGTGATGCTGCTGTAGACCCGGCCACACACCCTCACGGACGATCGCAGCCCCCTCCCTGCCCAGCCTTCGCAGTGGGGTAGGCGAGTGGTGATTTGTTTATTGTGGGGAGCGGTGGTGTCGCAGTTAGCTTGTTGAGCTACGATCCCGGCGACCCGAGTTCGATTCCCGCTGACAGCCGACACCAGCTGACGATTATCTGAACCGGTCCTGGGCCTCCCCTCGGTCGACTTGGCCTCAAATGAGTACCTGGTGCGGTGTATAAACATCCCGACTGGGGAGACAAAGGCGGCCCGGCGTGGTGCTAGCCACCCACCCCCTCGTGTGCCGTGCCGGGCTTCATCAGTGTTACTCGCTAACAGCACTTGCCCCAACAGTCTGTGAACCTCTACTGGGGGATCTTTGTCTTCGTGACTTATTCATGGCATTTAAAGCTGGCGGGGGGACGGGGGGTCAGTGGGGTGGCTATCGAGGGTGCAGGCGGTGCGTGACCGGTGGCAGCGCCACGCGTAAGTGAACCAAGCGCAGCAGGGCACCCCCCTTCCCTAGCAGCTCAAGGGGGCCCCGGGGATTCGTGAAACAAATGTGTGGGTGCATCATCAAACGTCGGCTCAAATTCAAATCCCGCAAAAAATAAGCTGATAGTCATCAAAAAACAATGAACGTCTCTCATATCTATATTGTCTGCATCTCTCTTGTCACTCAGTCTCACCACATCTCCTATCTTCTAGACTATGCAATGATAATTTCAACTTGAAATGAGCACAGCATTTCTTTCCCTCTCGCAGGGAGACGACGGCTCAGGAGGCGCGAGGAGCCGGCGCTATCGACACTCGTCCAAGCTCTGCAGTCCCCTATATATTGGGGTGTTATACAGGTAGGAACAACAGGTTCCACACTGCTCACCAGGGATTATTTGTCTGTCTGTCGTGCATATTCCGGAATTCCGCCCACCCATGCACCTCCCCACCGAACACCGAGCTACGCCGCGATTGGTTGACGATGTCGGGGAGGGTAAAAATGCCCACTCATCCAACTGCCCCCCCCCCCCCACCTGAACGCTGCGCTGTCCAACCAAGTTCCTATCTGCCCACTCCGAAGTAACGTGTTTGGCCAATTAATGACAAACCTTACTGGCTGTGTCCAGTGGTGGAGGGTTACGACACATTTGTTCTCACGCGATCAAACCCAAAAACCTTGATGATGAATGTGGGAGGAAACCGGAAAAAAATCCACGCACACAGATGGGACAGGTGGAATCCACTTTTGTTTGCTCTACTGCCCTCTGCTGGCACGCCATGGTACGTGACACCTCGATGCCCTCAATGCTGGACTACAGGCCACGTGCAGCAGCAGAGTCACCACTGGACTTTACGAAGTGAAAGAAGAGCCACTAAAAGTGTATTTCTGCTCAGGGCCCCCGAGGAATGGCACTTGTGGTGACAGGTACTGCGAGTTCTGACCGCACCTCCGATTCGCACGGTTGGCTACGTACAGCGCGAAAGAAGTTCAACACACACAGAAGGAACCAGCACCACCGCTGGGCCCAAATGCAGCGGGGGTCCCACGGGATGGAGGGGCCCAGGCACCGCGCTACAAAGAGGTAGAGGAGGGGAATTTGAGTCGGGGCCCAACAGTTCACTCATTGGACCTGGGGCCCACGGCAGCCCCCGCGAGGAGTGTGGTGGGGGGGGGGGCGGCTGTGGGGGGTGGGAGGCTCACGCTGCGACGCTGCCGTAGCTTGGCCGCTTGTGCCGGGTGATTGAAGCGGAACATGTGGGTCCTGCCCAGCAGGATCACGGAGCCTGAGTCAACAACAACAACAAGACATTACGAAGCAAGGACACGAGATGACGCGACGCAATGCGGCACGATTCGCAGCGGCACACAACGCAACACAGCGCACTACGCAGCGCAACACAGCCCACCACACAATGCAACACAGCGCACCACACAATGCAACACAGCGCACCACACAGCGCAACACAGCACACAACACAACACAGCGCACCACACAGCGCACCACAGCACACAACACAGCGCACCACAGCGCACCACACAACACAACACAGCGCACCACAGCCCACCACACAACACAACACAGCACACAACGCAACACAGCGCACCACACAGCGCACCACAGCACACAACACAGCGCACCACAGCGCACCACACAACACAACACAGCTCACCACACAATGCAACACAGCGCACCTCACAACACAACACAGCGCATCACACAATGCAACACAGCACCACCACACAATGCAACACAGCGCACCACACAATGCAACACAGCGCACCACACAGCGCAACACAGCACACAACACAACACAGCGCACCACACAGCGCACCACAGCACACAACACAGCGCACCACAGCGCACCACACAACACAACACAGCGCACCACAGCCCACCACACAACACAACACAGCACACAACGCAACACAGCGCACCACACAGCGCACCACAGCACACAACACAGCGCACCACAGCGCACCACACAACACAACACAGCTCACCACACAATGCAACACAGCGCACCTCACAACACAACACAGCGCATCACACAATGCAACACAGCACCACCACACAATGCAACACAGCGCACCACACAGCGCAACACAGCGCACCACACAACGCAACACAGCGCACCACACAATGTAACACAGCGCATCACACAACACAACACAGCGCACCACACCGCACAACACAGCGCACCACACAGCACAACACAGCGCACCACACAGCACAACACAGCGCACCACACAGCACAACACAGCGCACCACACAGCACAACACAGCGCACTACGCAGCGCAACACAGCGCACCACACAACACAACACAGCGCACCACACAACACAGCGCACTACACAGCGCAACACAGCGCACCACACAACACACAACACAGCGCACCACACAACACAACACAGCGCACCACACCACGCAACACAGCACACCACACCACACAACACAGCACACCACACAACGCAACACAGCGCACCATACAATGCAACACAGCACCACCAGGCAAGGCAACACAGCGCACCACACAATGCAACACGGCACCACCAGGCAAGGCAACACAGCGCACCACACAATGCAACGCAGCACCACCAGGCAAGGCAACACAGCGCACCACACAATGCAACACGGCACCACCAGGCAAGGCAACACAGCGCACCACACAATGCAACACAGCACCACCAGGCAAGGCAACACAGCGCACCACACAATGCAACACAGCGCACCACACAACACAACACAGCACACAACACAACACAGCGCACCACACAGCGCACCACAGCACACAACACAGCGCACCACAGCGCACCACACAACACAACACAGCTCACCACACAATGCAACACAGCGCACCTCACAACACAACACAGCGCATCACACAATGCAACACAGCACCACCACACAATGCAACACAGCGCACCACACAATGCAACACAGCGCACCACACAGCGCAACACAGCACACAACACAACACAGCGCACCACACAGCGCACCACAGCGCACTACGCAGCGCAACACAGCGCACCACACAACACAACACAGCGCACCACACAACACAGCGCACTACACAGCGCAACACAGCGCACCACACAACACAACACAGCGCACCACACAACACAACACAGCGCACCGCACAACACAGCACACCACACCACACAACACAGCACACCACACAACGCAACACAGCGCACCATACAATGCAACACAGCACCACCAGGCAAGGCAACACAGCGCACCACACAATGCAACATGGCACCACCAGGCAAGGCAACACAGCGCACCACACAATGCAACGCAGCACCACCAGGCAAGGCAACACAGCGCACCACACAATGCAACACGGCACCACCAGGCAAGGCAACACAGCGCACCACACAATGCAACACAGCACCACCAGGCAAGGCAACACAGCGCACCACACAATGCAACACAGCGCACCACACAACACAACACAGCACACAACACAACACAGCGCACCACACAGCGCACCACAGCACACAACACAGCGCACCACAGCGCACCACACAACACAACACAGCTCACCACACAATGCAACACAGCGCACCTCACAACACAACACAGCGCATCACACAATGCAACACAGCACCACCACACAATGCAACACAGCGCACCACACAATGCAACACAGCGCACCACACAGCGCAACACAGCACACAACACAACACAGCGCACCACACAGCGCACCACAGCACACAACACAGCGCACCACAGCGCACCACACAACACAACACAGCGCACCACAGCCCACCACACAACACAACACAGCACACAACGCAACACAGCGCACCACACAGCGCACCACAGCACACAACACAGCGCACCACAGCGCACCACACAACACAACACAGCTCACCACACAATGCAACACAGCGCACCTCACAACACAACACAGCGCATCACACAATGCAACACAGCACCACCACACAATGCAACACAGCGCACCACACAGCGCAACACAGCGCACCACACAACGCAACACAGCGCACCACACAATGTAACACAGCGCATCACACAACACAACACAGCGCACCACACCGCACAACACAGCGCACCACACAGCACAACACAGCGCACCACACAGCACAACACAGCGCACCACACAGCACAACACAGCGCACCACACAGCACAACACAGCGCACTACGCAGCGCAACACAGCGCACCACACAACACAACACAGCGCACCACACAACACAGCGCACTACACAGCGCAACACAGCGCACCACACAACACAACACAGCGCACCACACAACACAACACAGCGCACCGCACAACACAGCACACCACACCACACAACACAGCACACCACACAACGCAACACAGCGCACCATACAATGCAACACAGCACCACCAGGCAAGGCAACACAGCGCACCACACAATGCAACACGGCACCACCAGGCAAGGCAACACAGCGCACCACACAATGCAACGCAGCACCACCAGGCAAGGCAACACAGCGCACCACACAATGCAACACGGCACCACCAGGCAAGGCAACACAGCGCACCACACAATGCAACACAGCACCACCAGGCAAGGCAACACAGCGCACCACACAATGCAACACGGCACCACCAGGCAAGGCAACACAGCGCACCACACAATGCAACACAGCACCACCAGGCAAGGCAACACAGCGCACCACACAATGCAACACAGCACCACCAGGCAAGGCAAGGTGACGGGGCGCAATGCAGCAGGGCGGGGTTGGGGCCCAGCAGGGCCGAGCGACGTTGCGCACCCTGGTGCAGGCGGCAGGGCTGGGAGACGTCGCGGCCGTTGACGCAGCACGTGGCGCCAGCCATGGGGAGCAGGGTCACATCGCCGCCCGTGTTCTCGATCACACAGTGCTCCCGCTCCATCCAGGGCCCGCACAGCACTGCGTGGCACACGCACACACAAAGACAAAGATCCCCCATGTAGCCTTAACAGACTGTTAGTGAGTACCAATGAAGGCCGGCACGGTACACAGGGGGTGGGTGGCCAGCACCACGCCCTCCGTGGCACACACCGCACCAGTCGACCGAGGGAAGGCCCTGGACCAATTCAAATCATTGTCACGAGTGTTGGCCGTGAGCAGGAATCGAAGTAGGGCCGCCGGGTTCGTGGTGCAACCCGCTAACCGCTACACTGCCACTCCCACAGACTGTTGGGACTGCTGAGGTGAATGAGAACCGGTTAAGGCCGGAATGGCGCACAAGGGTGTGGTGTGGCCGGGACCATGAGTGGCCCCACCGTTGTCTCACCAGTCCTGAGGTTTGCATAACGCAACTGTTACCCATTTCAGGCTGAGTCGTCCGACGAAATGGCCAGGACAGTTTCAGAAATTTCACCTGTGGCCAGGAATCGAATCTATATGCACGTGCACACATTGTTGGAACAAGCGCTCTACAATCTATCTAAAGTAGCCCAAGAGTTAGCACTCCAGTAAGACTCCCACAGCTGCCCAGGTTGCACTACAAATATCTATGGAATGCAACGATAGCATCATAGCGTAGTCAGTCAGTCCATCAGTTGATATCAGGCAGGACCCACGGAGCTAAAACGCTCTTTTTCAATGGCGACCCGGCCAAAACGGTTGATGCAGTAGCCAGCACGCTACATGGGAAGGGTTTACAGGGGCCGCATAGGACGTCTGGTACGACGGTAGCCAGCACGCGACATGGGAAGGGAGGGTTTTACAGGGGCTGCAGAGAACAACAGCAAGGGAAATAGTATAAGCATTGGCAAATAAGCAAACCAGCAATATGGCCAGTTGTGCATGACCACGAGTGAGGGGAACTCGCATTTGGCCTTTAAACGGAGCACGAACCACAACTGGCATATCCTATTTTGAATGAGCAGTCCTTCCCAAGGCGGGCAATCTTCTCGAATAGTGCTAGCGGGCCGCTACGTGTGCATCCCATCTGCACGCATCGTCTTACCAATGTCCTGCTCAGGTGGGCGCATCGCTCCTCCCGATCGTTGTCCTTCCCTCCTGAAACAACAACGACGAGCCGGTCAGATGTAATGTACGTCTGTTGAACTTCTTTCGCTCCCGACGTAGCCAACGGTGCTCATCGGAGATGCACAGGATAGGGACTTGCGCGGTGGTGCCGTACGCCTGACGCCGACAGGAGGGCAACGAACTCGCGCACGCTGGCACACAGGCATGCGTACTACGGGCAGGGCGACAGTGGAGTCATTCGCACAGTGCGCTCTGAACCCCAGCAATCTGAGGTTCGACTCACAGCCTCGGCTGACATCAGCGGTGACGAGCGCTGTGGTGACGAATTTCGCCTGCAGTTGTTGGCGTATGTATGTATAGTAGGCGAACTTCTTTCGCACCGTACGTAGCCGACCGTGCCCTGTCATGTTTGTGCCCGAGTACCCATGTGCGCATACGTACACGTGTCTGCGTGTGCGCGTGTGTGTACACTTGCACACGCGTGTGTGTATGTAAGGCCAATATCAGTGACAATTATCTGAACCAATCCCGGGCCTCCCATAGGTCGACTCAGCCTCAAATGAGTACCCGGTGGGATGTGTAAACATCGCCACTTGGGAGACAAAGTTGGCGGGGCGTGGTGCTGGCCACCCCACCCCCTCGTGTGCCATTCCGGCCTTCATAGGTGCTCGCTAACAGCACGTGCACCCGAGAAGCACGTCGAGGCTACACGCGGGGGGTTATCTCAGCGTTTCCGCGTGCGTGCGTGTGTGCGTGCGTGCGAGCGAGCGTGCGTGCGAGCGTGCGTGCGTGCGAGCACCCGCAGTCGGTTGATGGTGACGCCCGTGCTCAGCACGTCCCCGTCCGTGGAGAGGAGGTGCGGCAGCTGGGACGCCACCTCGACGCCGGCGCGGAGGCGGTTGATCCCCAGCGTGTGCTCCTCGAGCAGCGCCCGCGTGTCGCGCCAGCCGTCCGACCAGTCGCGCGTCAGCCGCTCCACCTGCGCACGGCCCCGGAGGGGGGTGATTCGACTTTGAAAAGTAGTTCCATGACTCTAGATTTGAAGCTTTCGTGACTGCAAGGATTCATACGCTTAGGTTTTTTTTCGGTAAAGTCACGTAGGTAAAAAATGAAATTCATAAAAGCAATAATAGAAATGAAATGATAAATCACGACGTTTCGGAGGCAACACAAGTCTCCTTCATTATGTGGGACCGTCACAGCTACTTGATACACTTGATACAGTAAATCTAGCTGTGACGGTCCCACCTGATGACGGAGACTTGTGTTGCCTCCGAAACGTCGTGTTTTATTATTATTCTTTTTTTCTATTATTACTTTTATTAATTTTAATTTTATTTTTTACCTACGTGACTTTACCAAAAAAAACCTAAGAGTATAGTTCCATGACGTCGGCTTCTGAATGTGCGTGCGTGCGTGGGGAGCTCTGGGCAGTCATCTCAGTCAGTCGACCCGTGGCACCTGGGTCTGTCCCGTGACCTCCTGCCAGCGGGTGTTCGACACTTCGCGTGGCCTCAAGGTGCACATGGCCTGGCACAGGCGCCGTAGTGACGTCACCGCCACTTGGTGGCGAATGGCGGTTGTTGTTGTGTATGGTGAACGGTAGTGTAGTGATTAACGCGTTGTGCTACGAAGCCGGAGATACGAGTTCGATTCCCACTCACGGCCAACATCAATGACGATTATCTGAGCCGGTTCTGGGCCTCCCTTATATCGACTCAGCCTCAAATGAGTACCTGGTGCGGCGTGTAAACATCGCCACTGGGGAGACAAAGGCGGCCAGGCGTGGTGCTGGCCACCCACCCCCTCGTGTGCTGTGCCGACCTTCATAGGTGCTCGCTAACATCACTTGCCCCAACAGTCTGTTAAGGCTACACGGGGGATCTTTGTGTTTTTTGTATGTTGAACTTCTTTCGCACCATACGTAGCCAACCCCGTGCTAATCAGAGGCCTTCGTCCATAAGTGGACGCGAGGTTGCTGCGAAATTATAAAATAAATATAGATAATGGCATTTTTGTCATTTTCGTCGTGAGGGCTCATTCTGATCGGTGGAACAAACCACCTATGGTGTTGATGGTAAACTATGTACGTCCAATAACGTTTGACCTAGGTTAAAAAAAATTATACTGGACAGAAAGTATCATTATATCGGCGGTGATCACACTGCGCGAAGAACCCAAATAATTTAGCTCCATTCCTGGCCACGGCTAACCCCAGCGGTGCGCGATATCTGGCGATATCTGGACCGGTCCTGTGCTCCCCTCTTCACAAAACCGCACAGAACGGCGTGCACAGGGCCAGGCCTTCATCCACAAGTGGATTACCAAAGGGGCTAATAATTTACTACTATTATTAGATCACCGCTAGAGGGCAGGAGCAGCATACGTTTTAACCGTTTACAAATCTAATGCAAGCCGGTGGCAGTCTGTCCTAGAAACTATTCAACTATTTTTTATTTTAACCCGGTAAGACCCACTGAGCTATGAAGCTATTTTTTAGAAGTTACCCGACTATCACGAATGAGAGCTCAGCGAAGCGGCTCATCGCGTGGAAATTTATAGCAGCCAAATACTCTAGACGCGTGATGTTGATTCTAAATGTGGAGGGAAAACCCTGAGGATACGGAGAGAAAATCCACGCGACCACGAGGAGAGAGAGAGACGCCCAAATTCCAACTAAAGAGGCAGCGTCAGGATTGGGTTCGAACCCACGAACGACCTCTTGTATACCAGGCGAGGCAGTTAACATCTCATAGCCACCGCGGCACCCTGGCGAGAAGCCTGAACGAAGCTTCCGTTCACTCGTTGCAACGCAGCTCCATTCGGGGCTGCGGCACAGAAACAGACTGGGCCCCATGCGCATGGGGCGAGCTGGTGACAAGGGGGGGGGGGGTGGTTGGGGCTCGTCGGGAGAGACAGACAGGGGGGAGGAGGGGGGAGGAGGGGGGATGGTGGACCCCATTCCCGCTCACCTTCATCTCGTTCTCGTGCAGCATCTCGGCCAGGCTGCTGTCGCGCTCCTCGCTCAGCAACGGCGCCAGGTCCCTCTAAGGGCAAAGGGGGTCGGCAAAACCAAAGTCGCGAGGGGAGCCGCGTTCGGTAAGAACACATTTCAAGAGCCGCAATGCACTGTGGGGGACACGTGATGGTGGTGCCCCTTAATAAATAATGGGGTCACGCAGCCCCAGAGTCGCCGCGTGCGGCTCCGGGTTGCCGCAGGTTGCCGAGCCTTGGGCTACGGTGGGAGTGAGAGGCAGCCCGCTGGGCCCGGGTCTAAACTCTCACTCTGATCAGGTGACGACGACGATCGTGACGACGACCGCGACGACGATCGTGACGACGACCGCGACGACGATCGTGAAGACGATCGTGACGCTGCAGCGTGCTGCTACTGCTGCGGTAGCTGATGATGATGGTGATGATGGTGATACCGATGATGATTGTATTGCTGTTGCCAATAAAGAAGAGACAACATTTACTGCGGCAACTGGTGATAATGATGATTATGCTGCTGCTGTTGCCAATGATGATAATGCAGTTACTATGGCTACTGCTGCTCATCATCATGATGGTGATCTTGCCGCCGTTGCTCGTGATAGCGATGATGGCAGTGCTACTGCTGATGATGACAATAACAACGCAGCTGCTAGAAGTGGTGGCAGTAGCGCGCTCACCGCTTATTGCACAGGTTCGCGGTTCTAATCCAACAAGCTGCCCTGGTTATTACTGCAGTGTGTATTATCAAGTGAAATACTTTGCGTCGTCTGCGTCAACGTGGACGTTAAAGATCCCATGACGTCATTCGAGCCAGGTAGGCCACCGTGGGCCAGTGCCATGGGCCATACTTTCCCAATTCGTAACGTCACAGTATTCCCTCGTTAGTCAAGAACTTGAGATCCGCGATTTTGGCTATCTGCGAATAACATCTGGAGAACTGCACACGACTGCATCGAGAGAGAAAGAAAGTGATGCGATCAAGTGATTCTTTACGTATTTATTTAAGGTAATTATTTTTTAAAACATAGCTTTTCATAGGCAAATATCATTATCTGTGAGAATTTCCTGAACGTATCCCTCAAGAATAACGATGGAATACTGTATACCACAAATGACTGAATTCCGGATTACAGACAGCAACCATCGCCCACGAGTGGCAGGCTAATGGCCAGTCACAGGCCAGGCGCTGGGTCGCCTTGGGCCACACAGGGACAGCTGCCACTGGGGGTGGCCCTTTCAAGTGTGCCGAGATGTGATGCGAGTCGCTCATCGCGTGCGAAGCCCTCCGAGATGCCACCGGCGTCAATGAGCGTGGCAATATTTAAATAAAACGTTATTATCATAGTTATAATATTGATGATGCTGCGTCGCACACTTTCAGATACACTTCTGCGGCCATCTGGAACGCTCTTCTCTCCGATATTAGGAAGCCACTGGAGCTATGCACTTTTAAATAATTTAGATTGAAAACTAATTTCTTTAGAACTGCTTGTTGTGTTTAGTTTGTTGACCTTCCCCCGCACCTCCGATTAGCACAGTTGGCTACGTACGGTACGAAAGAAGTTCAACATACATACATACTGCTGTCGCCAATGACAATGATGATGGTGATGCGTGCCCAAACCGCGCACTGACCGGTTCCACACTCAGCAGCATGGCCTTGAGCCGGTCCACCTCCTGTCGGAGCTCGCGGATGATGCGCACGTTGGGGTCCTACACAGCGTGAGGGCACACGCGCGTAACAGCCACGTACGTTCACACACGCACAAAGACAAAGATCCCCTGTAAAGCCTTAACAGACTGTTGGGGCAAGTGCTGTTCGCGAGTAGCACCTATGAAGGCCGGGACGGCACACAAAGGGGGTGGGGGTAGCCAACACCATCCCCAGCCACCAGTGGTGATATTTACACACTGCACCAGGTACTGATTTAAGGCCGAGTCGACCTAGGGGAGGCCCACGGACGGTTCAGATAACGGTCTCTGGTGTTGGCCGCAAGCGGGAATCGAACTCGGGTCGCCAGGTTCATAGCGCAGTGTGCCGAACCGCTATACCACCGGTCCCCATGCACACGCACGCACATACACAAATTCAGGTCCAAGGGCTTGACTGGATGATGGCTCAAGGGGCCGGTGAACCAATACAAGTTCTTTCCATAGGACAACTGCCACTGACTTCCCCGCAAACCAGTGTCACTTGGACAGGTGGGTAATGGGGCACCAAATCAACCGCCAAGCAGAACTTGAAATCGCCGCTTCCGATGGTGAGCTTACACACCCACGACTGATGTACCGCACGGGGAGGGGCTAAACAAATGTTCACTTCACAGCAGGAGATGATAGCTCAACAAAGTGGCTTATCACGTGGAAATGTATGGCAGGAGCCAAATACTCTAAACGCGTGTTGATCAATGTGGAGGGAATAACCGGAGGAACCAGAGAAAAATCCACGTGGCCACGGGGAGAACTTGCAAACTCCAAATATACAGCAGCAGGCGTCAGAGTCGGGATCAAACCCACGACCTCCTGTACACCAGGCGAGGCAGTTAAGCACTCGCCACCATAGCAGCCAGGTAGGTAATAGCGGGCAGGAAATCTTTTTTCCACGTTTTTTCGTAGTTTTTTTCCTGAATTTTATCCCAATTGTGTGACCGGTGTCATGTCACGGCCTGCACAAGTGGACACCACAGAGCCACCTCTTGAGGTCCCTTCAAGTGAGCACTGGTCCACACAGCAAGCAGCAGCAGCGACACTTTCTCACCCGCCCACTCAGCCACTGCGATTACTCAGAGATGGAATTTATCTCAATGAAGGAATGCTCCAAACTGAATGCCGTGGGTTGTTCGTGCCATCGTTGACGACCGGGCTGGCACCAACTCGGGTCACGCGAGAACCCGGTTCAGCCATGGGCAGCGGCCGAATCGCCGTAATGGAACCCAGGATCTCGGTGTTGCCGGCTTGGCACGGTGAGAGGGATCGCACCTCGTTGATCTTGGGTCGGTTGACGATGTTCTTGGCGCGGGCTGCGTAGCGCAGCACGCTCATCGTCTCCCCGTACGAGCTGCACGCCGGGGACACAGCTGCAAGGAGCAGAGGTGGACACTGAGGCCCTGGGAGTGCACAACCACCACTGCCACCGCCGCTGCCACCACCACCACCACTGCCGCCGCCGCCACCACCAACACCACTGCCACAACCAACACGACCGCCACCACCACTACCAACACCACCATCAACGCTACCACCGCTGCCTCCACCACCACCAACACCACCACAACCAACACCGCCGCCACCACCATGAACACCGCCACCACCAACACCGCCACGGCCACCACAGCAACAAAACCACTACCGCTGCTGCAGCTACCTCCACCGCCAGGATCACTGCTGGCACCGTCATGAACACACACACACACACCACTACCACACACACACACCACTACTACACACACACACTCACACCACTGCCACACCACGACCACTCACTGGCGATCATGACGGTGCGCGAGTTCCCGCCGAGGCTGTCCTTGAGCAGCCGCGTGAGCACCGAGTCCCGGTAGGGCACGTGGCACAGGCGGCCCCCCCTCCGCGCGGGGCCCCCCGGCCTGGACCGCCCCCCACCAGCGGACGGCCCCCTCAGCTTGCCCGACTCCGGCTCGCTCAGCGCCGCCCCCCACGCGTCGGCTGCTGCTGCTGCGGCGCCGCCGCCACCCAGAGCTGCGTTCTCCGCTGTGCCGGGAGGGCATGTGGGGGGAGACGGAGGCAGCGGCGGGGCTGTTAGAATCAGGATATTTGTTTATGCTGGAGGAATCCGATGAGCTATGAAGCTCTTTTTCACAGATGTCCAGGAGGGGTGGGTAAGAACGTTACAACAACAACAACAACAAGACAAAAACACGATAATAGTGCACAGTACAAGAAAGGTAAAGAAATCACATCAAATGAAACTAAACCATCCCCAACTTATATTTCAGAAGCGACCTGGCCACAAATGATAGCTCAATAAAGTGGCGCATCATTTGGACATGTATAGCAGCAAAATAATCTAAATAATCTCAATACACGTTTCTAAATGTAGAGGGAAAAACTGGAGGTCCCGGAGAAAAAATGCACGCGACCACCGGGAGAACATTTAAATTCCAAATATACAGCAGGAGTCAGGGTCAGGATTGAACCCCCGACCTCCTGCATACCAGCCGAGGAGGATAACATCACACCCGAATCAGCCCGCACACAGCATGTCCTCGAAAAGGCCGCTTGCCCGTGACGTACCGTGCACCTGCTTCCCTAACTCAATCCCCGTTATTGCCATGCACAATTAATGCTAATGACGATAAACACCATTTACAAAGCGCCCAAAGTTTCACGATGCAGACGCAATGTCCAATCGAGAATTCGGAGTTGCGGAGCCAGAGCTCAACGTCATCCGTGTGCTGGCCTGAACAGGTGAGGACCTGAACAGATGAGAGCCTGGACAGGTGAGAGCGTGGACGGGTGAGGGACTGGATGGGCGAGAAACTGATGACTGAACAGGTAAGGGCCTGAACAGGTGACAGCCTCGACAGATGAGGGCCTCGACAGGTGAGAGTCTGGATGGGTGAGGGCCTGAACAGGTGAGAGCCTGGACAGGTGAGAGCGTGGATGGCTGAAGGCCTGGATGGGTGAGAGACTGATGACTGAACAGGTGAAGGCCTGAACAGGTGACAGCCTCGACAGGTGAGGGTCAGGACGGGCGAGAGCTTGCACAGGCGAGAGCCTAGGTGAGTGAGAGACTGATGCCTGGACAGGTGAGAAGGCCTGGACAGGTGAGAGCCTGGATGGGTGAGGGCCTGGACAGGTGAGAGTCTGGACAGGTGAGAGTCTGGATGGGTGAGAGTCTGGACAGGTGAGAGTCTGGATGGGTGAGAGACTGATCAGGTGAGGGCCTGGAGCTGCTGCTTGAAGGTGCATGGTGCTTGGGAGCTGGCTCCGCGCTCGTTGTGCGTGCTGCGACAAGTCGCTGACCCAGGGCAGAGATGACGCTGCCCAGGGTGACGAGCGAGCGGTTGATGTTGCTGCCCTCGGTGATGCGCTCCTTGTTGTAGTTGGGGTCCGCTCTCTCGCTGTCAATGCACACCAACACACAAAGACAAAGATCCCCCGTGTAGCCTTAACCGACTGTTGGGGCAAGTGCTGTTAGCGAGCAGCACCTACGAAGGCCGGAACGGCACACGAGGTGGTGGGTGGCCAGCACGGTGTTTATGCTATGTGCCGGTGCAGGCATTGTCACGAGTTGAACGGGGGAGGGGGGGGGGGCAATCTCCAGGAGGCCAGTTCAGCTTTGTGAATATGGCCCCCGCGATACGGTAGAGAACCCTTGTCTCGTCTCATTGAGAGGCCACGTGCAGCGCAGAGGCCACTCCGAGTGCATATTAATTGAGCGACACTTGGACCAGCTGATGAGCGACTCTGTCACCGCTGAGACTCGCAAGGCAAGTTGTGACAACGGAGCCACCTGAACCCACGTGTTGGTATTGGTACCAATTCCCAGCATTGACCACTAGGGGCCAGTGCAACACAGGGATCGTCAACTCAAAGCGCCTTAACTCTGTGAAAGGGGAGAAAAAAAACACTCAACGCATTGGGAAATAACACCGTGTGTGGCATGAAAAGGAACAATAAATATATAATACGCGACGTTTCGGGAAATGTACCTTCTACATAGTGCATACATGATTCATTTAGCAGATAATTCAAGTGCTACGAAGAAGAGCCATTACCCAAAACGTCGCCTATTATATATTCTTATGTCAAGGCCACACAGCGTTAGCGATGAATGTGTTGAGTTTTTTTTATTATCATTAATCGGTGATTGTGCACCACTGTCAAAGCAACAGCAGCACAAAATAATTTGTTTTTTTTTAATCTGCGCAAGTTTCTTCCAACGACACGCTGGATCGAACGCGTACTTTCAACAAACACTCGACGGATCCCTGAGAGCGGATGCCAATGGAGTGGTGGCGATGCCGCGTTTGCAATGGGGGGGGGTCGGTTGGTGGTCGCATCTCTCGGCAGATTTCAATGTAAAGACGGTCGAACCCTCAACGTTTATTAATCGTTGACACTAAAAGGTAAATTAATGTGTGTTAAATGCTGGTTTGGTGAGCTGGCACGCGTGCGTTAAGTTTACGTGTACGCTGCGTGCCTACTTGTACACCGGCTATGTATCTGGCACGCAACGATGCATGGACACGTCGATTGTTAAATATCATCGATTCCCGCACTCGCGACAGACGCTTCGGATTCCACGCTTTTGTGGAAATTTTCCGCTTAAAAGGAGCAAATAAAATGTAGAAACGAGATGTAAATAATGACAAATTATACAAATGAGATGGCAACCATCGAAGCAAGAACAGATCGCCGGGTTGTTATCGCGGCTTTCCGAACACATGGCAATCGAAACCGCTGGGGAGCGAGCCGTTATATTCCGAATATACAGCACAAAATAAACATTGATTCACATCTCTTTGTCAATCCACTGCTGGACGAAGGCCTCCAAAGACAAAGATCACCCGTTCAGCCTCAATAGACTGTTGGGGCAAGTGCCGCTGAAGGTCGGCACGGGATGAGGAGGACCACTTTTGTCTCCCTCGTGGCGATGTTTACACATCTCACTCGTCCATCACAAATGCGTCCTGTCCATCACAAATGTGCAGGTGCTAACTTGAGGTTGAGTCGACCTAGGGGAGGCCCAGGAATGGTTCAGATAATCGTCACTGGTGTTGGCCGTGAGCAGGGATCAAACTGAGGTACTAACTACTGCTATGTTAATTTTGCCGGATAAGACCCACTCAGCTTTTAGCTCTTTTTCAGAAGTGACCTGGCCACAAATGATAGCTCAACGAAGTGGCTTATCACGTGAAAATGTAGAGCAGTCAAATACTCTCTAAACGCACTTGGATTCTAAATGTGGAGAGAAAAACTGGAGGACCTGGAAAAGATCTACGCAACCACGGGGAGACATGCAAACTCCAAATATACAGCAGGCATCAGGGTTGGGATCGAATCCACGACCTCCTGTGTACCAGGCGAGGGAGTTTGCATCTCACCACCGCGGTGCCCGGGTTTGTAGTGCATTACAGTCACTTTGGTTATTTTGGTAAAGTCACGGAGGTATAAAATAAAACAAAATAAATTAAATAAATTAAATCACGACATTTCAGGCGCCTGAAACGTCGTGCTTTTATTTATTTTGTTTTATTTTCTACCTACGTGACTTTACCGAAAGAACCAAAGAGTATGGATCCCTGCAGTCACAAAAACTTCAAATCAAGATAAGTCACTTTGGTTATTCGACCATACTTCACCACGCTGGCTAGTGTGGGGGTTTACCGAAGGGGGCATCTTAAGACCAGATCACAGGTATCCCTCTCCACGTCAGCTGTGGCCTGGATTCATTGTCATTCAAGATTCAGCTCCTGTCTCGCTTTGATCGTCTCATTTGCAGTGTTTCTTGTTTAATCTTGTCTGTACAGGCATTATTCCAGTAGCCTGACAGGAACATTCACGTCTCGTTTGCACAACCCACGAAGTGTACGATTGTCCCAAGCGGGAGATGTAATAGACGCATGTGTCTGTGAATGTGGCAATCCATTTGGACCGACGACCCAATCGACGCTTGACTACCCGTGCAAGCCTCGTGGCGGGGGTAGAAATCGCCACCTCGCGAACGCGCAAGAGAACCGGGTCCAGCCACAGCTGGCCAAAAACCCGGACTCAAACCTAGGCCCCCTTGGCAGTGAGTGCAGGTACAGCTCTCCAACACAAGTAATTGCTCAACCCAAGCCACCCTCCTCCTCCTCATCCCTCCCCTCCCTCTCCTCCTCCCAGAACTTTCAACTCCAGGCAAGTTTTACTGCCCCGGCACCTAACAGAATTACCGCGTCTGTTTGCACAGTTTGTGGGTGCCGGCGATTGGGGGTCGAAACTTTCGGTTGCTAAGGCGCGATGTGTGGAGGAGGAGGAGGTGGTGGTGGTGGGGGGGACGCTACCGAGTCTGTAAGCAAATGCCTTCGACAAACAAGAAGCAAACCAATATTGATTGTTACGCCAGTCGGCCGATGTAATTTACGATGCACTCCCCCACCGGCATGCATCCCACATAACAACCGGGACGCTGGCAAAGGCACGCCCATCCATTGCCTTCAGAGCCCTTTCTGTTGTTCGGGCGGTGGGGGGGGGGTTCTTGTCACCTCTGAAAAGTATTTCACGATTTGCTAAATTGCTGTGGTTTGTCCGCTCCGAAACGTCTTGCCCCTGGGACAAGCGACTGCGGTGATTCGGCTGCGTGAACTGGGAATCGCTCTTCGGAATCATCTCTGAAAGGGATGATGCTGCTGCTGATTATTTTGCTGCTGATTATTCTGTTGCTGAGATGCTGCTGCTGCTGCTGCATCTACTGATGACGCTGTTGCTGCTGCAGATGATGAGGATGAAGAGAATTCTGCTGCTGCCGCTTATGACCTACTTGCTATAATCCTGTCACTGCTGATGATTCTGCTGCTGCTGCTGCTGATGATGATGACTATGATGACTATGATTCTCCTACTACTACTGCTCACGACACTGGTGGTGGAGCTGCTGCTGCTGCTGAAAATGACGATGCCTGCGAATGACGATGCCGATAAATATTTTTCCGTTCTGAAAACATAAGTCTGGATGTGGCATTTGTTTCCTATCGTGCTTGTGGCAACGTTGAACCAAGGCCAGCGGTGTGCCCCAGCGTGAGGATCAATCAACCGCAGGCTTGCGCTTGCCGTCGTCTTCTGGGCACTGCATTTTGCTGGTGGAGGAGTTCTGCCGGCGCAATGTCCTTGGCGGATTCGCGAGCTACGGGACTTCCAGCTTCTTCATGGTCTTCGCAATGCGGAACATTTTCCATGGAAGCGACGTAATGTTGCAGTCGTCTCAGTTGACAGACGTAGCGACGGTCAAAGCAGCAGACAAAGCGGATGCTTAATATGTAGCGTCCGTGTTGCCTTAACAGACTGTTGGGGCAAGTGCTGTTAGCGAGCACCTATGAAGGCCGGCACGGCATACTAGGGGGTGGGTGGCCAGCACCAGGTCCGGTCGCCTTCATCTCCCTGGTGACGATGTTTACACACCGCACCAGGTACTCATTTGAGGCCGATTCGACTTCGGGGAGGCCCAGAACCGGTTCAGATAATCGTCACTGAGACTTGCCCGCGAGCAGGAATTTAACTTGGGTCGCCGGGTTCGTATCGTTACAGCTGTCTCGTTGATAGACGCAGCGACGGACAAATCGGACGTGGGACGGACAATCGGACGTGGGACGACCACTGGCAGGGGACGGCAGTGAAGGGAACGTGAAGCTCCCCGGCGGAAGCACGTACGCCGCTGGCTGCAGAGGTTCACGGTTCGAATCCAGGGACCACCCCGATTAATACCGTAATATTAATAATAACCACTGGCGTTAGAGATCCCCTGACGTATCATGGGAACTCCCTCGCCAGTATCAAATATAAGAAATAGGTTTTACCCTTTCTGGCAATCCCCGGACGTAAGTCGCGGGAGTCGGGCAACGCGCCGCCGGCGTCGGGGTCCACATTCTCCAAATTCGAAAACGACGCCGCAAATTTACTCCACTGGAGTTTACCCAGCAACCATCTCTCCCCCACTGTGAAAACTTGGCAGGACCCTCCCGAAAAGTGAGGTTGTCCTGGGTAAACAAGCGGAGAGAAAAAAAAACGATTGTGGCCCAACGGCCTAAAAGGACCGGAACAAAGGAATAAAAATAAAATGTTCCCTGTAAGAAAGGCGGCAATCGCGAGTATGAGTCGCATATCTAGCAAGGGGAATCGGAATTTGACGCCGTTTACTCACCTTCCGGCCAGGTCAATGAGGTTGATCTTGCTGACGATCTCCGAAGGCAGGTTGTTGTGCAGGCTTGCCTGCATTTACACACGAACAAAAGACAAAGGTCCCCCCCCCCGTATAACCTTAACAGATCGTTGGGGCAAGTGCTGTTAGCGAGCGACTATGGAGGCCGGCACACGAGGGGGTGGGTGGCCAGCACCACGCCTGGCCGCCTTCATCTCGCCAGTGGCGATGTTTACACATCGCACCAGGTACTCATTTGAGGCTGAGTCAACCTAGGGGAGGCCCAGGACCCGTTCAGATAATCGTCACCGGTGTTGGCCGTGAGCGGGAATCGAACTCGGGTCGCTGGGTTCGTAGCGCAGCGCGCTAACCATTGCGCAACCGCTTCCCGTTGCAATTACACACTCACAAGTCGACACGTGCACACTTAACAACCAAGACAACGACCCCCCCCCCCTCGCACAGCGTTTAAGCAACTCTGGGGGAGAAGCACCGTTAGCCAAGGGGCTGGTGGTGGTGGTGGTGGTGTAGCCGATGTTGCCGCACCACGCCGGCCTTAGGAGGCGCTCGTTACCGGCGCTTGCCCCCACGGTCCATAGAGGCGACATGGGAAATGCTTGTTGAATACACACGCACATTGGGTGCCACTCAACATTCAAGCTATTTTGAAGGTCACACTGCCTGGCTTGATTATTGTCCCTGTTAAACTGAAGCTCCGTGAGTTTAAAGACAAACTTAACACACGATAAAGGCGCACGGGTAACGGATTTAGCTCCTTGCACACGTAGCCTTACGGAGGCCTGCACACACCCTCGTGAAGGTCCTTGCCGACCCCAAGCATGAAGACCGAAGGTACGTAAAGCGAGACCCGAAGTCCTGGCCTCTCCGTCGTATCGACAGCGACCCATACCAATACCCGGCGCCATTCGCCGCTAAGTGACGGTGACATCGCCACGGCGCCTGTGCCGCACACACAGAGACGTGGGGAATAGCCACTGGAACTCGACGGCAGGAGTGATAGATCTTGAAGACTCCATCAGACACCGGTACGTCTCGTCTATAGTCCAGAAACCTCATCATCGATTCCGTCTTGTAAGCGCCGTCTCATCTGGACCATCTCATTTGCCCCAAGTTGCGTCGTCTCATTCATCCCGAACATTGGTCTGAATGAAAACGGTCGCATCGATTTTGCACGGAGATATACTCGATTCTCACAGCCCCGATACGACTGCACGTACTGCAGCGTTCGCGTCGAGGATCGGTTTTTACTCGGCTACTCGCCGCACGTCCGCTATTAGCGAGGTTTCGGCCGAGGCCCTGTAACTGTTTTGTTTTGGTCCACGCATCCTGTCATTAGGGCAAACGGGGGGGGGTATTGGTTGGGTGGTGGGGGCGGAGGTGGGGTGGGGGGGTGGTGGGGTGGAGGAGAGCGGTGGGGGGTTGGTGGTGTGGGGGTCGGTGGTGGGGGATAGGGGGGGTGGTGGGGTGGTGGGGTGGTAGTGGGGTGTGGGGGGGCGGTGGTGGGGGGGGTGGTGGGGTGGGGGCGGTAGTGGGGTGGTGGGGGGGCGGGGGTGGGGGGGAGGCACTCGGCTCATTACTTCCCTGATCCCCATCGTTTAGGCTCAGATGAAGAGGATCTCCACCCAAGCCCGAGGGTCGCCAACTCCCCGCTCATTAACAATCCAATTGGCTCCGTACATCGGCCACCCAGCCGGGTGGGGCCCCCCACTCACGTGCAGCCCAGGAAATAAAGGAACCTGCGGCAGCAACGGCTCCTTTGGCTTGAGACCCCATTGCACAGCGGGGCACAACGGGGCTACGGAGGTATTCCACGGAGTTCGGGATTAGTCTGGCAAGGCCCGGTTTAATGAGCCCGAGGGATGGGACACAAAGCAGCCCGGCACGCTGGGTCGTCGTGTTCACTTCCGCCGCCCTTAGGGACACTCGATAGTTTAGTCTTAAATTGTTACCATAAAGTACGGGATGATTCCTTCAAATGCTCGGTGCCAAACTCTACGATGCATCTCGGATTGAGTCGGGTAGGTTGCGGCACTGTACGGTTCTTAGATTCACGATCCTTACGGGCAGGGGAGAGGAGGGCGGTGGAGGAGCAGAATGGATGGCCGGAGAGAAAAGATGTTCCAGACCATGGGGGCAGCATAAGAGCACAAGTGACCCCCCACTGAATGAAGGTTGACTGGGAACTCCGACAGAGAAAACCTTAGCTGCTGGAGCGGACAGAGTGTAGAGGGGAGAACAGAGCGGGATGAGAGGCAGGCAGGGGCGAGTCCGTGGAGGATCTTGAAGACCGTGAGACCGACCGACTGATGGACACATGGACTGATAAGACGGCCTAGAATATTAAGCAACTCTAGCCATCGGGATGTACGGAGGAATGTGCTCATTCACCGCAGTGAACACCTCTGGGCGTGGGCCCTTTTGTTCTCAGGGGCCCTTTAAAGCACGAGGGTGGCGGCTATCGGCGCCCCAGTGCCAGGTGCCTCCGCTGCTGAGGCCGCCCTCATTGTGTGCCGACAGGGTGGGGCCCCGTGTGCCTCCCGCTGTCTCATTTCCCTACTTTGACAAATTGTCATTTACGCTCAACAGCAGCATCGTCCCAGGCAAGGGCAACGGGCAGTCAGCGACGGCGGTCACCGATCTTCATCGTCGTCATCGTCGTCATCGCCACGGGGCCATGGTCTATCCCCTGCTGAATGAAGGCCTCAACCGAGGTGTCGCCACCAGCGAACGGTCCTGCACTCATGGCCTGAGCTCATCGCTCCACCCTCTCTTTGGCCACCACTCCGTCATTATTTTAAGGATGCGATTTGCTTTTTCCTTTCCTACACTTTGCACTCCGATCGTTCTCGTTGTTGTTGTTGTTGTACTGTTTGTTCTTGTAACCTTCTGACCTGCCCCAACTGGACGTCCGATCGGATTTCTCCAGGAGAAATAAAGATTCCGATTCCGATTCAGAGTCTCACCCACTGGTCATAATCCCTTCTCTGTGGCCGTGTCTTGCCGCAGACCCGCCTACGATTCCTTAACGGTCAGTCCTGTTTGCATCCATCCTGCGTGTGGTACTCCGAATCCATGCTTCTTTACGCGCCGACACGGAGGGCCTCGGGCTACTGGCAACAGGTGCCTCTTCCAATCTGCCTCTGAGGCCGGCACGTACATTGCGAACAAGGGCAATGGGACCATTCCCAAGGGGATGGAGGGGGTCTGACAGGGCCAGATGAAAGCTCGAAGTGAAAATTCTTGAGTACAATAACAAACAAAAAAACACCGATCCCATGAGACCTAGAAGGTTGAAACCGGTGCAGGGTTTTTTTGCTGCTTAATAAGGAAATGCTACAGGAAAGCATTGGTCCAGACGGCCCAGAAGTCGATGAACTAAAGCATAATTATGTTTAGCAATGAAGCAACCCATTATCTGTTTATTAAGTTGTTCATTTATTAACTAATGGCAGTTCACCAGCTTTAAATACCATAAACAAGTCAAATGCCAAACAGAGTGTCATATATTCTCATCTTTTGTACTCCGGCCTGTTCGTTGCAGTAGCCTCAAAAGGTGACTTCTCCACATAAGCGATAACCTTTACACAAATTACAATCAATTGTAACGCGCGGCGATTCGACGCACGAATCACACCTTAACTGCCCCCTCGAACCCCCACGCTTGTTTCCCGCAAGTGGCGCCCGGTCAACAGCGGGGGTAGGGAGGAAGGGGCTCTACCCCCCTCTCTCGCGCGCGTAGCGCAAGCCCGAAGTGCAAGCCCGGGCTTGTCAGGGGCCGTGGGGCGGCACTGATAAGAGGGAGCAGCCGGCCGCTTATCGAGTTGCCACTCAGCGCAACGAATCCTCAGCTGCGGGCGATTGCGCCCGTCCTGGCGCGAGCTCAACAGCCGCGGCCGCCGGCGCCGTTGAGGGCGCCCCTCCAGCTACAGGCACTCGGCAGGCCCCCGCGCACCTCACGTGGCTCCGCGTGCTGGCGCTTCAGCGGCCAGGAGAGGAGAAGCAAGGCATCCTGCGGGGTCCGGCGGAAGCCTTTCTCCCACCCCTCCCCCCCCCCTAATTCCTTGATGATGTTATTCAGTTGCGTTTTGATTGCTCGAAACTTGGACATTTCATGAATCCTGGGCAAGTCAGGGGCACCACGGTGGCGAGATGTTAACTACCTCGCCTGGTATGCAAGAGGTCGTGGGTTAGATTCCGGCCCTGATGTCGTTCTCTCCGTGGTCGTGTGGATTTTTCTCTGGGTCCTCCGGTTTTTCCCTCCACATTTTAAATCAACATCACGTGTTTAAGAGTATTTTGGCCGCTGTAAATTTCCATGCGATAAGCCACCTCGTTGAGCTATCATTTGTGGCAGCCAGGTCAGTGGGCCTTACCTGGTATATGAAAATTATTTAGTTTACCATTTTGTTTTATTTGTGTCTGAGGCGAGGAAAACAAGGCAGCCGTGGAAGCTGGTGCACGCCGTTCCTCCCACTCGCCCAGTAGAATCATCGGGCTTCTTTAAATGTGGTTGCTTGTTCATATTCTTAGGGTTTTTCGGTAAAGTCACGTAGGTAAAAAATTTAAATTAATAAAAGTCAAATAAAAATAATTGAATCATGACATCCTATAGGTGTCACTTTGGTTATCAGAGTCCCGGGTGTTTCCACTGCATCCTAAGAACGTTGAAAATGTCACTTCAGTTATCTTGAGTTTTGGGTATTTCGACAGAATTCCAAGGATACTATCTATACATGGCTTAAGTTTGCTGTTCGAGTTCTGGAAATTTCTAACAAACTCCTATAAGAATCCCACGACGCATCTGATTTGTCTGCTTTAATCTTTGCCAAGCCTATAAAATAATTTGTAAAATTTGACGGTTTGCTTAGTGGAGTCATTGGCTGCTTGGCTGAGACCATCGACCGAGTGAACGTGCCCGAGCGAGAAGCCGGGGTGATCGGCGGTCTCCACTTACAATGGGAAAAACTAAAGCAGCACACGAGGCGGAGGCGGGGAGGGGCAGACACGGATACAGCATCATCGTCAAATCCGTCCCCGCCGCTAAGATTTGCCCGCGTCCCAGTGGCACCCTTTCAACCGCCGCTGCAACAAAGCCACGCCGTGAGAGTCTCCCAGCGCCACCCGCGGAGGTGGCGCGGTTGGCATGGGCCCTGCTGCCAGGAATTAAAGGGGGCCTCCAGCCCCCCCCCCAACCATGGTCCACAGCTGCCCCCCTCTCACCGCTCGGCTCCGCGTACCGCCGATGGCGCGTTCTGCACGCGCGCACGGCCGAGGCGTCTCTGTGTCACGTGAGCAAGTCGCGTGACGCGCGCCCTCCAATCGCGGCCACCCGACCGCAGGACTCGACCCTCCCGAGTTTCAACTTTCGCCTGCCACCGGACTCGGCAGATTCCTACGCCGCCTACGCCAAAGCCGGCACCTCCGGCCCCCACCGACAGCGCTCGCCCTGCGGCCTTCCCTGCACTTCGTAGCCCCGGCGCCTGGGTGCCTCCAAAGCGTTGGGCCCCGGTGCAGTTGCGCCGCCTGCGCACTCGACAGCCACCGCCAGAGGCTTCCCGGGAGGAGCGAGCGCGCCTGTGCCTACGCTGAACTTCTTTCGCACCGTACACAGCCAACCGCGCTAACCTGGGTGAAGTGGAGGGTGAAGATGGCGTGGGAGCGGCTGCTGGCTTCGTGCACGTGGGTGCTCGCGATCATCCTGAGGCAGACGCACGCACACAAAGACAAATATCCCCCGTATAGCCTTGACAGACTGTTGGGGCAAGTGCTGTTAGCGAGCACCTATGAGGGCCGGCACGGCAACACGAGGGGGTGGGTGGCCAACACCACACTCAGTCGCCTTTGTCTCCCTAGTTGTTATATTTACACACTGCACTGGGTACTCATTTGAGGCTGAGCCAACGTAGGTGAGGTCCAGGACCAGTTCAGATAATCGTCCTTGGTGGTGGATGTGAGCGGGAATTGAACTCGGGTCACCAAGTTCGTAGCGCAGCGCGCTAACCATTACGCTACCACTCCCCATATATACACACACACACACAAAGATCCCCCGTATAGCCTTAACAGACTGTTGGTATGGGTGACCGGTACCATATCATGCGTGGCTGTGTTTGTATCCTGAGTTGTGATGTTTACACATCAAGCCCAGGTACTCATTTGAGGCCAAGTCGACCTGGGGGATGCCCAGGACCAGGAATAAAACTTAGTGTGGCTGGGTTCATAGCGCAGCGCGCGCTAACCACTACACTACCGCTCCCCACTACACTACCGCTAACCACTACACTACCGCTAACCACTACACTACCGCTCCCCATGCGCACACAAAGGCATATAGCCATAGCAGACTTCTTGGGGAAAGAAGTACTGTTGGCGAGCATCAAATTAGGAAGGTCGGCACGGCACACGAGGGGGTGGGTGGCTTGCACCACACGCGCACACAAGCAAACACACGCACTCAATAACCTTCCTCTACAGCGCGTGGTGTGACACTCACGGTCCATGCCGTTCGGTCCTGCAGCACGTTAGGTGCTCTACGTGGTGTACAGTGTGCATGGTCCATGGTTTCGCTCTCTCGGGGGCATCAAATTTATTATTTGATTCACGTGCAACCCACCTGCGAGCAACCCACCCTTGATTGCCCCCGAGCTCGCCACACCTCGGAAGCCGAGCGAGAACGAGTCTGCACGATCTATATTTGGCGTGTTGGCCCCCCGTGGTCGTGTGGATTTGTCTCCGGGTCCTCCGGTTTTTCCCCTCCACATTTAGAATGGACGTCACGCGTTTATTTGGCCACCGCTATACATTTCCACACGGTGATAAGCCGCTTTGTTGAGCTGTCATCTGTTGACGGGTGACTTCTTAAAAAAGAGCCGTACAGCTCAGTGGGCCTTACCTGGTCAAATAAAAATGGTAAAATAAAAAGTTAACAATGGTTGGGTGGACGACCACCATGCCACAACATCCACACCGCTTTCGACCACGTACACAGTGGGTCGCAACCACACAGTCCTCACCTACTCACTCATCCCGCTCCTCCACTCACTCGCCACTCCGCAGATCACAACACCTCCCTATTCTGCTTCTTGGCTCACACTGCCCCACTTTGGAATTCGCTGCCCCCATCGTTCTCATTCCCCAATCTCTTACAATAGTAATAGTAATAACCGCACTCGATTCAATGCACGTGCTACACTCCTTGTCACTTCTAACTTCGATTGTGCCGTCCGTTGCTTGCGTTTAGCAATACCGTACAAAATTTTTTTTTTTTAAATAACAATAACAGCTGCTGTAGGTTACTACCGGCAGGCGTGGGAGAGCGACCTCTGACCTGTTGGCGTTGCCGTCGCCGATGAGTTTGGCCACGGGGTCGTAAGAGGACACGAGGTGACGCGAGAGACCTGGCGAGGGAGCAGCACGCACACAGCGAGGCAAGGGGGACAGCGTCAACCCCTCGGGAGCTTCCAAGCAGCGGGTCGGGGCATTGCCTCGTTACACGTCGTGCGGTCTCCGTTCTGGACGACCACAGTCGCACCACTACTGCCGGAGAGTTTTTAATTTCCCATTTGTGCATCGGGTATCCGCATCTGCTACGGTTTGTGCAGCGGATGCGGTTTAGTGTCGACCATGAGCTAAGACCTGAAGCACCGTCAGCAACTGCCTGCGAGGCGCTGCAATCAACTGCGAAATGTCTACGACAGGAAAACCAACTAACAGCGTGAGTGAGGATCCTTCGTGCCGGCCGTGGAACATCCTCAACACCGTGGAGATCAACCGCGAGGAGCCTCAGCGGTGACAATCGCCGAGAACTCGACGTGTTTCGACCGAGTCAGCGGTGCGTGGCGCCACTGCGGGCGACCGCTCAGAAGGCTGCGTGGGGGCCATAGAGAGCGGAACGGAAGACGGGCGATGGGAGACGGGCGATGGGAGACGGGCGACGGACAGCCAAAGACAAGGCGACGCCACCCAGGAGCTTGGAGTGACGAGAGATGGGGGACAGGAAATAAGGAATGAAGACGTATACAAACACAGCAGACAGGGGCAGACACAGGAGACAAAACCATGGGTGAGAGGAAACGGGAGACGGGAGGTGGAGACAGAAGGGGAGGGGGGCAGAAGAATATGTCAGAGACAGAAAATGGGCGACCTGCTGATGATGAGATGAGATGGGAGACAGGATGATTAGCAGACACGGGAGGCCAGAGACGAGAGGTGAGAGGGGCGTGAGGCCGCTGGGCCTGCTCACCCTGCACGTAGGGCCCTCGCTCGGGGTGCTCGCGCACGCGCAGGTTCGACCCGGCTCTCCGCCGCGTCGGCCGCTTGAGGAGGTCGCGCACGGCCTCGTTGTAGATCTCCACGAAGCTGAGGGGCGGTTGCGCAGACGCGGGCGGGGGGAGGATGCAGGCGGGGGGAGAACGCGTGCGGTCAACGCTCGCGCAACAGGGCGGCCCGGCGTTGCGATCCATTGCTGAGCTTCTGGATTAGGCCACGCAGTGATCTGGCCAAAGTTCTGTCGCGAGATCCTTTGACCCGACATAGCACGAACAACTAACACCGTCACACGTACGAGCGCTTAACGCGCCAGTTGTTATTGTTGTTATTGGGGACGCCACGGTGGCGAGATGTTAACTCCCTCGTCTGGTATGCAAGAAGTTGTGGGTTCAATCCCGACATGTATATTTGGAGTTTGCATGTTCTCCCCGTGGTCGCGTGGATTTCTCCGGTTTTTCCGTCCACATTTAGAATCATGCGTATAGAGAATTAGGCTGCTAGAAATTTCCACATGACGATAAGCCACTTCGTTGAGCTTTCATTTGTGGACAGGTCACTTCTGAAGAATAGCTACATAGCTCAGCAGGGCTTACCTGGTAAAATAAACATAGTTTACAGTCGCATAAGGCTCTACGGCAAATTTACGTCTCGTTTAGATACGTGCGAGTGCGTGTGTGCACATACGGTATTTACAAAACCCAGTACCTCACTTCCACTTTGTAGGTGGTTGTGGCTCTGGTGTCGCGCTCGATGCGAGTGAAGAGGCCCTACATGGGGATCACAGATGCCGATTAAACCGACGGTCGCAGTCAACAGACACAAACACGGCCCAGAATGCAATGGAACAGGAAGATGCTCTGAGATCGATTCGAAGCCGTACAATGCATAAGCTATAATGTATAAACTATTTTTTTATTTTACCAGGCAAAGCCCACTGAGCTATGTAGCTCTTTTTCCGAACCCACCTGGCCACAAATGGTAGCTCAACCAAGTGGCTTATCACCGTGCGGAAATGTATAGCAGCCAAATTCTCTAAAGGCATGTTTCCAAATGTGGAAAGAAAAAATCGGAGGACCCGGAGAAAAATGCATGCGACCACTGGAAGAAACATGCAAATTCCAATATACAGGCATCAGGGTCAGGCTCGAACCCATGACCTCCTGTATACCAGGCGAGGCAGTTTACATCTCGCCACTATTTATAACGTGCACATTTTCACAAATCATCAAATACCCAGTCACGATTCGGAGGCTCCGCGCAGCTAGGCTCAGGGTTCCTCATAGGCCCGACGAAACAGCTCCCCACAATAATTATCATTGCTGTAGTTTTAGAAGCAATATCATCGCACAGTGATGTGAATAATAGCCATGGAAGGTGTATTCCCATCATCATCAGCGGTAGTAGCGGTAGTTACGATATTACCAATAGCAGTTATTTAAGTAGTTCAATGCATAGGGCCAGTATGAGATCAGGGGTCTTGCAATGGCTTGCATTGCTACGGTGCTTTCGAAAATGGCATTATTATTATTCTAATTAATAGATTCGTGCTCAATATAACTGCAGGAGCAGTGTTAAGTTTCACAATAATCGATTGTTATTCATAGCATTTGCTTACGGGAATTATAAATCCAGGTTTATTATACCTTCGGCATTGACGTTTTTCTGAATATTGTGAGCAAACTGAACTCTTAGATTTTTTTTTAAACCCAACACATTCGTCAATAACACAGCGTGTGGCTTGAAAGGACAAGCATATAATGGGCAACGTTTTAGGCAATGACCCTTCCCATGTGCTATGAAGAAGGCCGATTGCCCAAATACGTTGCCTGTTAGAAATTGTTTGATGTTGTTTGTTAATTGTTCCTTGTGCACGACCACTACCAACGCAGCAGCAGCAGCGTCACCAAATAATTTGTTTTCGTTGAGTTTCCTCATTCATCTTTTCCGGCGTGTGGCACACTCCAACAATGAACGCGCTGCCCCACGTTTCAAGCCGCACGCGTCAGACCGAATAAAGTGCTTTGTTGAATTTCGACAATTGAAACAATCACCTCGCAAATGCGTGGAATCAGGCCCAGCGACTCCTGTAAAATAAACGGAGCACAAAATGGATGAATAAAACATCCGCAATCCTTTTCTGTCCCGAAACAAAACTAGCGACACAAAAACTTTTGACGTGAAAATAACCACGAGTGGGCCTTTACAATAACAAAGCGTGAATAAAAAAAAAAACTTAATTTCCAGGAAGATCATTTTCACTGATGAAATAGCAAATACAATCATAATGGCCCAGCAACAAACCAAACTTTCACATTACAACCTCACTGGGCAGGGATTGTTTTTAAATATTCGACACGTTCAATATTGTTACCACGTACGAGGAACATCCGAGTAACAGCAAACAATTTCCAAACATTCAGTATCTACTTTCGGGACATAACGCAATTACGTTAATTTATGCGAGGCAGGAAGATGAATGCGTGGATGCAGGGAGCGCACACAGGTCAGAGACGACAATTATTGACCGTCAAGAAAACTCCGTGTGGGGGCTCGGGCGGGGACACGTCACGGCTACCCACCCAAGGGGACAGCGGCCGGAGCGCGACAAATTTACGATGGAGCCGCAGCCAAGCGAGAGAGAACGTGCCCGCGTGGGGGAGGGTTCCGTCCTCCGCGGAGACGGAGCGATTGAATCAGCTAGTGCGCGAGTGCAGGGCGCAATTGCCGCATCGCAGAAGTGTGTCACGGGCGAGGGCTCAGCGAGTCCTTCGTCCAGCAGTGGATGGATCACGTCACGGCTGAGGCTACGAAATCGCAACGGAGGTCACGGTCACGGAAATCGTGGATTTGAATCAAGTCTGCCGGGGAAATCTTGGAACTGGCTTAGGAAAAGCATTAAATGTGGGCGCTTTCTTTACTTCCTTTCAAACATTCCGTAGGTCATGATGTGGGACAGTGTGAGCGCCTCGGGGATGGTGGGGGGTGAGGGGGGGGGGATGAGGCTGGGAGGGGCCTAGGGCTGTCCCTACACACACCGGGCACCCTTAATATGTTTGAGAGGAGGTGAGTTGTAAGCCACTTCGAGTTGCCGAGGTAATTAAGCAATCCAGCTATCAAACAGCGATGTGTCTGTCTCGCGAAATTTGCACACGATACAAATCATTCCATTATTACGAGATTATTATTATTGTTTTTTCCACACACATCGGCCGAAAATCCTCACCAAATAATGACCATGCCAAAATCGCAGCCTTGGTTATGCTTGTTGATCACGATCATGATGATAATTATTTCGTGTGAATGAATATAATGGAGGAATGACTGGAGGGATGACCTCACCGGTGTTCCCATCATGGTGTAGGTCTTCCCGGAACCCGTCTGCCCGTAGGCAAAGAGGCTGGCGTTGTAGCCGGTCACGGCGGCCTCCACCACCGGCAGGCCCAGCTCCTGGAACATCTGCCCCGCACACCGAACACGCAGACAAAGATCCCCCAGGTGGACGTTAACACAATGTTGGTGGCAAGTGCAGGCCGCAATGTCACACGAGAGGGGGGTCGGTGGCCAACACTCCACCACGGGCAGGCCCAGCTCCTGGAACATCTTGGCCACCTTTGCCTCCTCAAGTGCTGACGTTCGCACACCGCACCAGGTACCCATTTAAGGGCTGAGTCGACCATTTAAGGTTGAGTTGACCTAAAACACACACGCGCGCGCGCACTTTAAGCCTTGTAGCCGCAGGGCCAAGTGTTGCTAGTAACGGTGGAATTATTCCATTGCCTCCACGAGGATTTTGGCGAATCGTCACAGTTCAGCATTGCAATTACATTCAAGAATCCATCATTCTCTGAAATATCTTGCTGCTGACGTGCGTCCATCTCTGCACTTGAACCAGCTGGAGCCTCCCGTAAACCACGTGGCTTGTGCGAGGCCACCCCCACTCCAAACCCCTCCCCCTCCTCCCCCCTCCCCCCGCCGCCCGCTGTGAAAACAGACGCCGCTACTCCTCCGTGCAGCAGCGTCGAGGCGCTTGTGGAGCCTCTTCCTCCCCATCCTCACCTCTCGTGACCCTTTGCTTCCGTTATCCCATTCATTTTCCGTCCTTTGCCTCTCATTTCACAATCGTTCTTTTCTCTCTTCCCTTTCCCATTTTCTCTTTTCCCCCATCCTTGACTCTACTCCCCATCCCGTGGTGGTGGTGCCACGGGTACAACGTTGCAAGTTACGTACATCAGACGTGCACACGTACATACAGCCCGCTGTGCCAGATCACTGCTGGATGAGGGCCTGCCCATGCCGTATGGATGGTGGAGGTTATTTTTTTATCATACTTCCCTGGTTAGTGCCGGTTGGTGAAGGCAGCGAGTATGGATGTTGAACTTATTTCGCACCATACGGAGCCAACCGTGCTAATCGGAGGTGCGGGTGGAAGGACAGCAAACTAAACACTAAAAGCGGTTCTTCAGAAATTAGTTTTTCAATCTGGATATTGCAGACGGCCGCAGAAGCGCATCTGAAAGCGTGCGATGCCGTGACCGTCTTTGTTCGATGGCTAGCAGGCAAAGTGGAAGTGGCAAAGTAGAATTCAGCCCATAACTCTTACATGTATTTGGGATGAAAGGTCACCAGGAGATGGTAATACATCAATGGATTATTGATCCTATCCGTGCAGATCACACAATATATCCACTCGTATTCGGTGAAGGAGGTGGTGCGCCATGGCCAGGAATCGAACTTGTATGCGCTGGGTTCAGAGCACAGCGTGCTAACCACTATACCACTGCTCCACCCACACTGAAACATGCACTGGAGCTATGCACTTTTAAATCCAGATTGAAAACTCGTTTCTTTAGAACTGCTTTTTATGTTTAGTTTGTTGTCCTTTCCCTGCACCCCCGGTTAGCATGGCTGGCTACGTACGGCGCGAAAGAAGTTCAACATGTACATACGTACATACAAAGATGTGTGGGCTTTCTCCGGGTATTGGACAAGCATTCCGAATGCCGGACCGTTTAGCTTATTCCTTGAGTACAGCCAACGAAGAGCAACTACGAGAGACAGAGTTGGCAGCGATTGAGCAATTAAATTTGCTCTGTCTGAGAGTTTTGAATGGCAGATGTGCCAACCCACCCACCCACTCACCACCTTCACACGTGTATATTTGGGGCAGTGCGAGGTTATGCGGTCCGTGGTTTGGAGTTCATAGCCCTCGGTCGCACACAGGAAGAGAGTCTTCGATTTACTCACAGAGCGCGTTGAGACTCGCTGATGATTTCCATGGTAAAGGGAATCAGTAATTTGTTTTAAATGCCCTTTACCAGGAATCAAACGTGGTGCTGTGGCTTGCAGGTTATGCCTTGTATTTACAATCGACTTGAGAGCATTTATTCGCGCGATTATCGACGAACTAAACGTGTGGACAGATCGATTGGCGTTCACGTACACACAGCGAGGAGCTCCAGAGCCGCTATAAAGGTGAACGCTCGGAGGATTATATCGCTATTCTTCCTCCTTTTGTTAGATTCCTCACTACCACCACCACCACCTCCTCCTTCTTCTCCTCGTGTGGTCCCCCCTACAAAGTGCGTCAGCTATTGATGAAGGTGGCTCAACAGGCTCGGCTGGCCGGTGTCTCATTCCTCCAGCCCCAGCGCTTTCACGAGCAAGAAACACAAAGGCGGGGAAGACGCACGGACGGACGGACAGACGCACACACGGATGGATGGATGGACGAAACGTACGGCCGAACGGATGGACGATCACACGGATGGACGGACAGAACGAACAGACGGACAGACGAACGGACAAACGGATGGACGGACACACGGACGGACAGACGGACGGACAGACGGACGGACAGACGGACGGAGAGACAGACGGACAGATGGACAGATGGACGGACAGAACGAACAGACGGCTGGACGCATATCCCAGAGGAAAAAATCTCCCTCCTAATCCGACATTCCAACGGATCCGGTTTTTCAAGGGCTCATAGCTGAGGTGGAATCCTGCTCCTAAAATGTCATCCTAACAAAAGAGAGGGGGGGAGAGAGAGACAGAGAGAGAGAATAGCCCCACAGCCATACCTTAAATGCCATTCGCCGCAGAGGGCGTGCAGCCATTGTGAGGAATCGAGTTAAAGCGCAGGTTCCATAGCAGGTGGCTGTTTTGTAACAAATTGTCTGGCCGTTACTTTTAACAGCCTCTAATTTATGAGATCCCACGTTCAATTGTGAAGCCCACAATCCTTGAATACAGGAACACCTCTTCGTCGTATGGCTAATGTTGATGTACCGCAACAACTATCTTTTTATCCACAATAGAGGGTTTTTTGGGTTAGATCGCGTAAATATATAAATGTGTCGTTAAACCCGCCGCCACCTAACACAGCCGATTGGTAAGATTTGTCACGTAAATGAAATATGCCGATTCGTTACGAGTTCAGCACAGGGGTGTGTTGGGCAGTAAACCCACATTTACAATTCGAGTACATGTTGTGGGTTTACTCTCCAACACACCGGTGTGCTGTACTAGTATCCAATTGGCACGTTTAATTTACATGACAAACCTTACGAATCAGCTGTGTCGGGTGGTGGCGGGTTTCACGACACATTTATATTTTCACGATCTAACCCAAAAAAAAGTCTATTACAGAGAATATCGGTCGCGAAAGCCCCACTACCACTACTACTACGACGCGTTAAACTAACTCTAGGTATACACCGAGGTGGCTCAGCCGGAGTGTATTTGCCGCGACGATGCCTCCTCCGTGCTTGTGAATCGGGCACCGAGTCGTTCCACGTCTCGCGGTGGGTTCTGGGTGACGCCACAGAGTTCCTAACTTTCCATTTACGCATCAAGCGTCCGAGTCTACCACGGTTTGCGGCGGAAGAACACCGAATGGCATTTAATTGAATAAAATGAGGTATATTCTTGGTTCTTTCGGTAAAGTCACGTAGAAGGGAAATAATAAAATAATAAAAATAAAACATATTTTATTATTTCCCTTCTATGTGACTTTACCGAAAGAACCAATAATATGAATCCATGCAGTCACGAAAGCTTTAAATCGAATAAAATGAGCAATTTTTTTTTTTCCCCACCGGGAGTTAAAACATTTTGAAAAGCATGTCGCTAACTTTGTATTTTCTTAGTCCACTGCTGGATGAAGGCATTCCCATGGAGGGTTATCTGACCGTACTTCACCACACTGGGTGTGGATTTGTGAATGGGTGGCTCGGGACCAGCTCGGATATCCCCCGCCACTCGCGTCAGCTGGCGACCCGGGAATCGAACTCGGCTCGTCAGGGTTCACGAGTGGCGACACGCTAACCACTGCGCCACCGCTCCACCCCGATGCATTCAAGTGCCACACCAATCTTTCTCTTTGCCGGCCCCGACTCGGTGATTTAAAATCACGATGGGACCTCTGCCCCGTGACAAATTCACACAACAAAAGGGACGAATTTGTCGATAACGTTTTCCTGCCACATTCCTCGATATCCGCGCGCAGGAGTTGCGAGCACACACACGCACACGCCCGCACGCGCACACACACACACACGCGCACGCCCGCACATGCGCGCGTGCGGGCGCATTAAGGGGAACCTATTGAGCCCGAAATTGTTCTCAAATGGAACGCGCTGTGGTTTTATAGCACGACATGTGCACACAAAGGTATGAGGATGCTGCTAAGTAAATTCAATGAAGCGAATAGGGAGCGGGGGGGGGGGTCTGATATTCAGAACCGGCGGAAGTTAACTCAGGACAGCCAGGGCTTCGGCGAGTGAATTTAAACATCTTGCCAAGATGTGCTGTGAACCCGGTGTAAACATCTTGGCAATCAAAAAAATGGGCACAAATTTCACATTTACTGCAGGATAATAATAATAAAAATTGCATGTGGCAATCTCACAAGCTTGTTTCGTACATTTCTATGAACATCTAAAAACGTCAACACATTCGTGAATACCGCTGTAGTCTGTGCCCCTTCAACGGAGGAGAAATAGCAAAACGACACGAACTCTCTCTCCCTCTCTGCTGAAGCTCTCTCATCGCGGCCAGCAGCAGCAGCAGACCTCGACATTGGTGGCATCGAGCTCCCGAGCCGTATTGCTGCTGCCACACGCAAGAACAGAACCGCATTATAATCCAACTGGGAAGGTTCGTAGCTACACGACTTGCTTACGTACGTCTAAGTATGTGGGGGGAGTGGTGGCGCTGTGGACAAGGGTTTTTTGCTCGAGTTTTTTGTAGGTTGGGTTTGTGCACCACTGCCAAAGGCTGCACCACCAAATAGTTTTCACTTTATCTAAATCTAGTTACGGCAAAATCAAGAGCGTAAGATAGACTCGTGGCGGTACTGCAGCGGTTGGCGCGATGTGCTGTGAACCCGGTGACCCGAGTTCAATTTCCAGCGAGCAGCGATCGATATCCGAACCAGTCTTGGGCACCCCAAT